ATATGAAGAGACATTTTGCTCCTTGAGAAGACCTTTTGGTCTTTCTCCTCTTCTCAGCTATGAGGAGAATATCTTCTCAGCTATGTCGAGAATATCCTCTCTTCTTCTCAGCTATGAGGAGCAGATCTTCTCTTCTTCTCAGCTGTGAGGAGAAGATCTTCTCATCTTCTTAGCCATGAGAAGAAGACCTTCTCTTCTTCTCAGCAATGAGAAGAAGACCTTCTCTTCTTCTCAGCAATGAGAAGAAGACCTTCTCTTCTTCTCAGCAATGAGAAGAAGGCCTTATCTTCTTCTCAGCAATAAGAAGAAGATCTTCTCATCTCCTCAGCTACGAGGAGAAGATCTTCTCTTCTTCTCAGCTATGTGGAGAAGATCTTCTCTTTTTCTCAGCTATGAGGAAGATCTTCTCTTTTTCTCTGCTATGTGGAGAAGATCTTCTCTTTTTCTCAGCTATGTAGAGAAGATCTTCTCGTCTTTTTAGCTATGAGGAGAAGATCCTCTCTTTTTCTCAGCTGAGAAGAAGAGAACTTCTCAGCAATGAGAAGAAGACCTTCTCTTCTTCTTCTCAACAATGAGAAGAAGGTCTCCTCTTCTTCTCAGATCTTCAGGTGTCCTCTGAAAATCCCATTAGCTTTTTCATGGCTTCAGACTTCGGATACTCTCTATAAAAAGACCTTTAAATCTTCTATGAGGAATTCACGTTTTTGCTCCTTGAAACGAGAATACCTTTTATGAAAACACCTTTTTAGCTCTTTGAGAATACATACTCGTCTTCTATAAGAAATCAAATAGATCTTCTATGCAAAGATCTACTTGCCTTGAAGAAGGATACCTTCTGGTTCTTTGAGACCATCTAGTGTCTTAAGATGTTTTCTTTTTTTTAGCATTCTACGAGGAAGACTTCTGGTACTCTTAGAGAAGATTTTCAGGTCTTCGATGAGAAGCCTTTTTTGTATTCTATGAGAAGTCATTTTGGTCTTGTATTTAAAGGATACTTCTGTTCTACCGATGGGTTGGGTAAGGGAGGACCTTCTGCTCCTTCATCAGGAAACCTTCTACTCTGCTATGGGCGAACCTTTAAATCTGCTATGAGAAAACCCTGTGATGTCCAGCATTTGAAGCATTTGAATTCTCGGCCCTTCACAGTCCGCCAGCATATTACACCTCTAAGCTCTTGAACTGAATGCATTACGTATGTTTCGTTAAAGATGCACACTTTTTTTCACTCCTACATAAATTTTCTTTTGACACATTCTCATTTCGGTAGTCTTTGTGATTCCGGTTAACTGAATTTGTTTTTGTCGTTTTTTCATCACCACCATCAGCATCAGCAGCAGCATCATCAACTCCATTTCCATCTTCATCGCCATCTTCCTTGAGGATGTTTTGTCTTGACTGTGATAACACACAACATACACACATATTTGGATTTGAGTGTGTGTGTGTGTGTTTGTCGGCCTGCATTTGTTGTTGTGTGGGGGGGGGAATATTAAATTCTTGAATTTGCAACACATGTTTCTTTCCATGTTCGGAATTAACACAGTTGTGTCTCCATCCATCACAACAATTCTCACACAACGCAGATACACTCCTTTGGCCGCACACACACATGTACATGCATATGGCAATATGTAGGTATGCAGATATGTGGACATTCCTTACGGGAAATGCATCAATTCAAGATGAGGGTGTGCGTAAGTGTGTGTGTGTGTAGTATTTGGGCTTCGAAAACTGTGTGCACTCCATAAAAAAAGCAAAAGGAAAAAATCATGTCTTCCAGTTGGGTTAACACATAACAAACTTTCGAACACACACACACTCTCTCTCTCGGAATCGGAACACATATTGCAATTCACACCAGCATCACTGCAACCACCAACAGCTACAGCTAGAAAAAAAACTGAAAGTAAAACTGGGGCCTTGTGCTGCTGATAAACCAAAAACCAAAATGTGTTTACTTGTACACCACCCAAAGGATTGCTGCCTTCTTTGGTCATCAAAACGACAACAACAACAAAACCAAAAACATAATGTTTCATGCATTCCATCCAAAAATATGAAAAGGAAGGGTGATGGATGGATCTCTGCCTGGAAGCTAAAAACATTTCACTGCTACAAATCCAAATTCCGAACGTATGAAATGTTGATGCTGCAAAACAACTAAACATAAACTAATCATCAATCTTACGGAATCCTTCGAGGGCTTAGATTAGATAAGTAAACCAGTGGAAATATATCCTTCAAACGAAACAAAAATAGAAATAGAAATGTGATGATATCTTCTCTAGATAAACATGAGTAGGTTCGTAAATCTAGTTCAGCAAACCGGTGACAGGCTGGCTCACAATTGTAAAGGGTGAGCTAACATTACAATACTTACATGTTATTATGCTAATTTTCATGCTTTCTAGTTTTCCCTGAGGAGATCTTCTGGCACCGTATGAGGATATGAATGGCCAGAATGCCTTCTTACAGAAGACCAAATGGTCTTCTCATAGAAGGCCAGATGGTCTTCTCATAGAAGGCAAGAAGGTCTATTCATAGAAGGTCTTCTCATAAAAGGCCAAAAGGTCTATTCATAGAAGGCAAGAAGGTCCTCTAATAGAAGGCCATAATGTCTTTTTATTGGCGACCAGAAGGTCTTCTCATAGAAGGCCACAGGCCAGAAGGTCGTCCCATAAAAGGCCAAAAGCACTTCTCATAGAAGGCCACAAGGTCTTCTCATAGAAGGCCACAAGGTCTTCTCATAGAAGGCCACAAGGTCTTCTCATAGAAGGCCACAAGGTCTTCTCATAGAAGGCCACAAGGTCGTCTCATAGAAGTCCAGAAGGTCGTCTCATAAAAGACCAGAAGGTCGTCTAATAGAAGACCAGAAGGCCTTCACATAGACGATCAGAAGGTCTTCATCTAAACGATCAGAAAGTCTCCACATAGACGATCATAAGGTCTTCACATAGACGATCAGAAGGTCTTCATATATAGGATCTACACATAGAAGACCAGAAGGTCGTCTCATAAAAGTCTAGAAGATCTTCTCATAGAAGGCCAGAAGCTCTTCTCGTAGAAAGCCAGAAGGTCTTGTCATAGAAGGCCAGTAGGTCTTCTCATAGAATGCCAGGAGGTCTTGTTATAGAAGTTCGTCTCATAGAAGACCAGAAGGTCTTCACATAGACGATCAGAAGGTCTTCACAAAAGCGATCAGAAGGTCTTCACATAAACGATCAGGAGGTCTTCACATAGACGATCAGAAGGTCTTCACATAGACGATCAAAAGACATATACGATTAGAAGGTTTTCTCACCAGCTAGCCTCCTATGGGAAGACTTTCTGGTCTTCTTAAAGAAGGTTGAGACTGTTGGGTGGGGACTTGGTTTTGGGTGGTAGATATTGTGCCTGTTGCAGTTGCAGTTGTGGCGAAAAAATTATGCTTATTCCAGAAGACCTTCTTGTCCTCTATGGGACCTTGTGGCCTTCTCATAGAAGGCCACAAGGTCTTCTCATAGAAGGCCACAAGGTCGTCTCATAGAAGTCCAGAAGGTCGTCTCATAAAAGACCAGAAGGTCGTCTAATAGAAGACCAGAAGGCCTTCACATAGACGATCAGAAGGTCTTCATCTAAACGATCAGAAAGTCTCCACATAGACGATCATAAGGTCTTCACATAGACGATCAGAAGGTCTTCATATATAGGATCTACACATAGAAGACCAGAAGGTCGTCTCATAAAAGTCTAGAAGATCTTCTCATAGAAGGCCAGAAGCTCTTCTCGTAGAAAGCCAGAAGGTCTTGTCATAGAAGGCCAGTAGGTCTTCTCATAGAATGCCAGGAGGTCTTGTTATAGAAGTTCGTCTCATAGAAGACCAGAAGGTCTTCACATAGACGATCAGAAGGTCTTCACAAAAGCGATCAGAAGGTCTTCACATAAACGATCAGGAGGTCTTCACATAGACGATCAGAAGGTCTTCACATAGACGATCAAAAGACATATACGATTAGAAGGTTTTCTCACCAGCTAGCCTCCTATGGGAAGACTTTCTGGTCTTCTTAAAGAAGGTTGAGACTGTTGGGTGGGGACTTGGTTTTGGGTGGTAGATATTGTGCCTGTTGCAGTTGCAGTTGTGGCGAAAAAATTATGCTTATTCCAGAAGACCTTCTTGTCCTCTATGGGACCTTGTGGCCTTCTCATAGAAGGCCACAAGGTCTTCTCATAGAAGGCCACAAGGTCGTCTCATAGAAGTCCAGAAGGTCGTCTCATAAAAGACCAGAAGGTCGTCTAATAGAAGACCAGAAGGCCTTCACATAGACGATCAGAAGGTCTTCATCTAAACGATCAGAAAGTCTCCACATAGACGATCATAAGGTCTTCACATAGACGATCAGAAGGTCTTCATATATAGGATCTACACATAGAAGACCAGAAGGTCGTCTCATAAAAGTCTAGAAGATCTTCTCATAGAAGGCCAGAAGCTCTTCTCGTAGAAAGCCAGAAGGTCTTGTCATAGAAGGCCAGTAGGTCTTCTCATAGAATGCCAGGAGGTCTTGTTATAGAAGTTCGTCTCATAGAAGACCAGAAGGTCTTCACATAGACGATCAGAAGGTCTTCACAAAAGCGATCAGAAGGTCTTCACATAAACGATCAGGAGGTCTTCACATAGACGATCAGAAGGTCTTCACATAGACGATCAAAAGACATATACGATTAGAAGGTTTTCTCACCAGCTAGCCTCCTATGGGAAGACTTTCTGGTCTTCTTAAAGAAGGTTGAGACTGTTGGGTGGGGACTTGGTTTTGGGTGGTAGATATTGTGCCTGTTGCAGTTGCAGTTGTGGCGAAAAAATTATGCTTATTCCAGAAGACCTTCTTGTCCTCTATGGGAAGTCCTTCTGATTGTCTATGAGAAAATCTTTTAGTAGTCTATGAGAAGGCCTTCTAATCGTCGATAAGAAGCTTCCCTTTTCCAATAGATAAAGAATGAACGCCATTTTCAATAATATCCAAATGTTTTTTTTTTTTATTTATTTTAGAAATTCTTTATTTAATAAAACAATTAGTTTTTGAACCTAAATAGTTCCTTTGATATTCATCGGTATAATTAAAAATAATAATAATAATTATAATAGTAGTTGTAATAGTAATAATAATAATAATACACAATAGACATAATAGGGAATGCGAAGCCTATGACCGAAAAAACAAAAATTAACCTTTTTATAACACGTGAGTACTTTTCTTTCTTCCTTCGTTTTCTCTCTCTCTCTCATCCCCTGGTATGGTGCTTAATCGAAACTAATCAATTCGGCAGTGGCCGGTTCCTCGTGAGCAGGTGGTGGTGCGGCTACTGGTTCGGGTTCATGCTGTGGAGGTGCTGGGGCCGACTGTATAGCCTGAATCTGTGAAGCCGCCTGTTGTGGCGTATGCTGTTGAATTGGTGGCATCTGTGGTTGGGGTTGTTGGGTGGGGACATGGTTCTGGGGTGGTAGAGATGGCGCCTGTTGCTGTTGCAGTTGTGGCGAAGAAATTGTGGTCATTCCATTGGTTTGTGTTGGTGGTAAATTGCCTATATTTGGTATGGGTGATTGGGCATGCATAAGATGCTGTTGTTGTTGCAACATAACATGGGCTAATTGTGGCTGATGATGTTGCTGCGATTGCGGTGGTGGTGGGACTCCACCCATGGATACCTGTGGTCCTTGTTGCGGCATGGTTTGGTTATTTGTAACGGGTATTTGATTATTGACCTGAGCGTGATGGTTATGTGTCATAGGTGGTTGTTGCTGTTGTTGTTGTTGTGATTGTGGTTCTACTCCCATTGGTGGTCCTGGATGTGGTTGCTGCTGCTGCATCATGCCCCCAGCCTGCATGTGATTTTGCATGTGTGCTTGATTCAGCGCTGTTTGTTGTGGTGGCATCATCATATTTCCGGCCTGTGGCATACCCTGAGGTGGCATGCCAGGATATTGCATAGCTGTGGCCTGTGTGGTATGATTCTGATATGGAGGCATTCCTCCAATGGCTCCACCAGCTGTGGTTGTGGCACTGGGTGAGTAGGGATTATAGACACCTGGAGGTGGTATGCCAGTCATTTGCGGTTGCTGCGAAGGTGATCCTTGTGGCGGCATACCTGCCATTGCCGGCATAAAGGGGAATGCTGTCTGATTCATGCGATATTGAGCCATTTGTTGTTCCTGGCGCAGTTGCATTTCCCTCTCTTGTTCCTGTATACGATGCAACGCCAACTGGCGTTGATATTGTAAGTATTCCTGTTTCTTTTTGCGCATGATTTCCAATTTCTGGGCCATTTGTATTTGCCGCTGACGTTCCTGTTCCTCGGCCATGCGTCTCAAGTTTTCGGCATGTTCATTCCTCAAGTCATCGAGAGCAGCTCTTGAGTCTTTGATTTGGGCCAATTTATCCTGCAACTGTTCATACCACATTCGTTTGTCGTCCAGCTCCTTAATGAACGACAACTGTTGTGAATGCAAATTGGTCAATGTCATGAAGAGTGTCTGCACTGAACTATCGTTGGCAATGCTACGACCTCTGCTCGAATTCGATTTCATGCGATTAACAAATATCTCCACCTGTGCACGCATATTGGCGGCAAATTCATCGATTTTTTGTTCATCTGTTGATTTGGGACGAAAATCGTTGGCAGTCAATGGTTGCTGTTGTTGCTGTTGCTGTGGACCCATTTGGGGTTGTGGTGTTGCTGGCATAGGACTCGGTGCCGATGGGCTTGCCATTGGGGATTCGTTACCTTTGCGCTGTTCCCAATAGCTACGATTCAAATATTTGGCCAAATCTGGATTAGTTTCTTCGGGTTGAGGTTCTTTGGGTGCCGGTGGTGCTTCGGGACTAGGTGAACGTTGTTGCATGCGATAAGCAGCAATGGTCTGCAAAAAAAGAGAGAGAAAACAAAAGGTGTTGTTAGTGGTTGTGGTTTGTAATAAAAATTTGGTGTTTAGAAATAATTTAGAAATTTTAGAAAACAATTGGGATCGGAACGTTATATTATTTTCAATCTAAGTTGGGGTTTGCATTTGGCCTTCTTTGAGGTATGAGCTTACGCTCCTAAGAGATAATAATGTAGTGTTAGTCCAAATTTGATAATCTTTAAAAAAAATATTCAATTCAAACTCCAATTTTTGTATTACTATGACTGGGAAGCCATTAAAATTCGATTTAGTTTTCTATTGGTTGGGTGGTTTAACAATGCACAGATATACAGGATTTGGTAACTGCTTCACTCGGAGACTTTTGCTCCATTGTATTCATCCCAGGAAGGAGAGATATAGAAGCAAGAGAGACAGAGAGAGAGAGAGAAAAGAAGGATTTATAGAAAGGGGAATAGTTAGCCCCGTGGTTTATCTATCCAGGGAATATCTTTGGCAAACTAAATAATGATAGAATCTATGTCTGAAAAGAACCTGCTAAATAGCATATGGTCCCTGTTGGATAACATGGGACATCTGCATCATCTTGAAGTCAAGAATGACTCTCGATTTATTGGCACTTGACTTGATTGTTTTGAATGCCGTCGGGCTATCGAAATATACAGCCACTGGTCCTGTTATGCTATTGCAGAGTTCTCTGTCCAATTCGATTACCTTTTTGCCTGCAAAAATCTACGCCTGAAATACACCCCATTTGTTATTAAACTTATATGAGTGTTTAGTCATTGGGTTAGGATCCGAACGAATGGCGCTGTCAATCCTTTGGACATTCTGCGATTCTAAGACGTGTAAGGAATGTGGGAGTGGAAGCCAACATAACGGTTGAGCTTTGAAATGACTGTAGCGTATTTCAGGCGGAAATTTTTGCGGTCAAAAAAGCCACAGGCCACGAGGAATAGTGAGGTTAGCGGTTACTATATACGTTGATAGTCAGGCGGCAGTGAAGGCCTTAAACTAAGTCCATTACCACCATTAAGTCTAGGGTTGTTTTGAACTGCAGAAGAGCCTTGGAAAACACTGGGTTGTCCATCAAGCTCTGTTGGGTTCTTGGTCATTATAACATTCCAGGCTACGAGACTGCAGACGAATTGGCCAGGCTATGATCCAAATCAACTACCATTGAAGTAGAGAACTCCGTTAAACCACCACTGTGCCACTTCCTACAGATTATTGACAGACACTACTCTGAGAGAATCCAACAAAGAAATGGGATAGCGATGACATTGACTATTGGATCAAGATGAAGAAGAAATTGAGACAGTCGAACACTTGATCTGCCACTGCCCACCACTCATTAACGTGAGACACAGGTTGGTGGGGGAACTAGTGTCACATGATCTGTCTTCTTTTTCTAACAATGACCCTACAGTAATTCTTCGATTAGCCAGAAGATTCAAGTTGCTAAAGACGACACGGCAACTTCTTTACCCGTAGATCACACAATATAATTCTATCTTCCATCTTCACTTTCTTCCATCAGCCATTCCTTTCTTCACTATTCTTTCTAGGATGAACACAATGGACCAGTAGGTCTCCGAGTGTAGCGGTTACCAAACAGTTACCACACGTCCTTTAATCTAACCTAACCTAACATGGATGAGTCCGATAGCAATCAGCTATGCTACCCCAAGACGAATTTTCCATTTCTATATTCAAATATTTCAATTTTTAGAGGTTCGCTGACTGTATTGCTCTATATTTCGTGTAATGAAAGAGCCTTAAATAAACTGATGTTCATTTATGTTATTTGAAGATATTTCACATTTTAATCTTTAACATTTACCAACTGTTGACGCCTCTTTTTCTATCCCGAATTCAAAGAACGTATTCCGTACGAACTCATTTATATACCAATATATCTTATGAATGTTTCCGATGTCTTTAAAGCGATCGATATATGAGTAATAAGGTCACAAGAATAAAAGCAACTTTGATTTTTACTTTCCCTTAGCCTTCCTTTTGTTTGTTCTTTCCTCCAAAAAATTCTACTCTCTCATTCTCGGTCTCCATTTGATAAGATAACAATAAAATGGTGTTAATAAATCAAATAAATACTTATTAACAATTACCTGTTGTTGCTGCTGTTGTTGTTGTTTTTTGCTTTCGGCTTCCGATTGACTCAGTGCCAAAGCCAATTGCAATTCTTCTTCCTCTTTTAATTCTTGTTCTGTTTTTCGTGGTGGTGTCTAAATGTAAAAAACACACAACATAAACAAAAGCAAATATACGATAACATGGAAATCGTTGAGGGGGGAAAACAAAATGCGATTATTGTTTGTATTGCTCACCTGCACTTGTTGGGCCAACGAACTGTTTAAATATTCAGCTGGTAAATCATTTTCACCTGTGCGTCCAGCAGATGCCTTAGCCGAAGTGGGCCTTTGTAATTGCGCATAACAGCCATCACAAACGCGTACCTATGGAACGGGGGGAAATTATTTTTGGGTTAAAAGAAATGTAATTTAAATATTTGTATGGACTTACATCCTTTTCAATACCAAACTTGGGTAGGGGACATGATTTGCTTGTGCATTGGCCACAAAAAACCTGACCACAATTGCGACAGTGATGTTTACGATTGGTAAAGCTAAAATCATCACGACACCGATGACATTTTTTACCATCGGTCCAGTTGGGTGCCGTGTCCATGGCAAACATGGCATCTGCTTCTTTAAGTTCCGGAAATTGATGTCCCTTGGCTTTCAGTATGGTCATTGTGTCCTGTAAGAAAAAGAAAAATAAATGCAATTTAAGATACATTTTAAGAAAATGTGTCCAATAGTTGACCTCCTCCTGAAGATCTTCAACTACTAACTCTTCTTCGGAACTCATTCTATGCCTTTGCAATGAAAATTTCGAAAAAGTTTTACAGATATTTATTCAGTATCACTTAAATTGATTCAAGCTAGAAGCTACCTTTCCTGTGTGTGTGGTTCCACAATGAATGCACTGCACATATTGTCTGCTAATTAAATTATTCTTTGTTTGATGCCTATTGACATTCAAAAGTTCAAAAGATATGATAACGTTGAACAGTTACGCTTTTGCTGTTTTTTTTTTTGTTTATATGGAAGGGAGAGGGGTGTCTGGTATAATTTGTATAGAATATGTGAAAAAAAAAACAGAAGAGGAATTCAAGTCTTAGGAAAATATTGTGATGATTTGGACGAGTTCAAACCAATACTGGAACGTACAATATTTTTGAATTTGAGAAATCTGGGTCAGAACATTATATAGGCTATTCCAGTACTAATGGAGGAATGTAATTTATTTAAATGGAACGGAAAAGGACCGACGAGTTCAAACAAATACTGGAATGTAGAATATTTTTGAATGTGAGAAATCTGGATCGGAACATAATATAGGTTATTCCAGGACTAATGGAGGAATGCGATTTATTTAAATAGAAGTGGAAGGACAAAGGTGCAGATTTTGTATATTTTCATGGAAAAATATTTTTTGTTTTGAAATATATTTCTGTGTACGTCCCGAAACACAGCACCCAATTTCAGCCAATCGAAGGGCTGGAGCTGATAATATTGTGTAATTTTCATTCATCATTCTATCTTGAGTTTACAAGGGACCGACATATATGGATATCAATGTAGAGCCCTTTTACGATATTTGTTCTCAATTCCATTATATCATGAATTTACATCCGACATTTCTTTGCATGAGTTATAATTCAAAGCCTAGAACTAACATAGAAAAATTAAACTTTACACCGTTTAGAATTTTGAAGATAATACCTAAGTTTAACGGAACTGATAAGGATGAGGCGGCATGATATGACACATCACTCGAAGTAATTTTTTTTTTAATTTAGCTAATGTAAATTTAGATATGGATTTCAAAAAGCTTTCCTAGATCGTCTTTAATCCAATACTTGTTTCAATATTCTATTGATAACACTTCTTATATACCCAAAATGATAAGGATATCTCATAGTCGTTTCCCAGATTCCTAACGATAAACGAACAAAGAAAATTAAATTTTACATATCTCTAAAATTGTGTACAAAAAAAAACCAAATTGCTACCAGTTGTTTAAAACTGTATAAGTTTCACTCCATTAGCATCCCTCCGTTTTTCTACAGCTACAGCCTATTTAGATAGTATTTCTCATTTCCCTTGCTTACCTTGATTGCTTGGTATCTTTCGGAATTTCGAAATGCATACGCCCAGGTTTGTATTAATTCCAGCATTTTTGCCCGTACATTGTCGTGATTGGTCTGTTCCAAGAATTGGCTTAACATGGTACAGTTTTCTTTTGTGAAAACTTCGTCGTGCATTGGTGTGCCACAGTTTTTAACGACCGACTCCAGAACCAGACAAGCGTAATAGGCAGTATGGGGATTTGTGGAATTCATTTTCTTTTTTATGGCTGCAAAGGCATTTTTGGGCCTGAAAACAACAAAAAAAACATTAAAACTAAATAACAACAAATCAAATCCAAAACAAACATACGTTGTATCCTTCTGATTTATGGCATCACAACACACCATAATCGATGGCCATTCAGGCTCCAACAAGAGATGGCTTGTGGCTCCATCTGAAACAAAGAGGAGGGGAAGAACATTGTTATATTGACATTATATTACTACTGATCTTTTAATAAAACGCATTTTCTTTGTATTGCATTTGAATAATTGTTGTTGTTGCTGTTGTTTCCAAACGAGACAAAACCGAAAGTCACACTGCTCCCTTCCGATCATCTGTGATAATTTTTCTTCCATATCACTTACTTTAATTGATGAGTCACTTTCAGTTTGTTTTTCATTTCGTTTTTCTTGTTTTGCACAGAATTTTGCACCGCTGCAATGGAACACTTTCGCTAGACTTACCCAAATTTTTATCAAAATTTGTACGAAACATTATTTATTTCGTTGTTACTGTGTGAAATTACAAAAATGGGTGGTGTTTTTCACTGTATTTTCCTTTTTTTTGTTGCTGTCTTTAGTCGCGAATTTTTCTCTGCTTTGCTTTTCCTTGTCAACTGTTAGGGTTATATAGCTTCGATTTTGTCTATACGACAAATAACATTGATATGTGTTGTAAATCAGTAATCGATTCTGTCGATAACTGGAATGTGTTATCAAACATTGGAGCGTTTATATGTATTGTTGTTTCTATCATGAATATTAGCAAATATAAACATAGAAAGCAATCATTCACATTTATTTACACTCATGGCAGAAGAATACAGGTAGATGCATCAACGCTTGGGAGCAGTGATAAGTCAAAAAAATTAAATGTTTTCTCAAATATGAGTAGATTTTTAAATGTTTTCTTATACGACGTCATTCGGAGGTTATTATAATTCGAGTTTTTTTTAACAATTTTTACAAATTTAAATAATTTTTCATTCAACACTTTTAATTTTAAAATTGGTTTGACAGTTCATTGCCCCAGCAGCTGTGTCGATGTGTCTACCTACATTCTTCTACCATGTTTACACTATTAAATCATAATTACATAACAATTGTTAGTTGGAAAAAAAGAGGTAAAAGTGGAGCTTCTGGAACAGAGCAACAGTTTTTGTTTGATATAGGCATTGACAATATCGATAGAAAAAATCAATCGATGTTCCTTTTGAAGTATCATTGCTATCAATTACTTGCCACCACTAAAAACAAAACTACATGAAAAAACTTCATATATTCCACCATGTCTCAGGAGTCCAGTGTTACAAGTGAAATTCTAAATGAGAAAAATAAACAAGAAGTCCGTTGTCGGTTTTGTAACTCACTAATGCTCAAAGAACAAGAGGGTACCTACGAAAGTAAACAGGTAGGGTTGTGATATTCTCTGCACGAACTTGGTATGACAGATATTTTCTTTTCAACTTTCTTCCAGTTTGACTTGCCTCTGACCCACCAGAAGAATACCAAAGACATCAACACAATCGAGACTGAATCGTTGAGTGATTTTTGGGTCATCAATGATATGTTTACATTCGAGAACATTGGTTTCTCCAATACAGTGGACAAACGGAAATTTCTTATCTGCGCCGATTGCGATATGGGCCCTGTTGGCTACCATGACATCGATACGAAGAAATGTTACGTTGCATTAAAGAGAGTGCATCATGGCAAAGAACCGGCCAAAACTTTAACTAATAACTCATAGATAGTAAATAAATGTAAGACAATTTGTAAATTATGTTTTGTGTAATTAATTTATTTAGTATATACTTACTACAGGATCAAGGCATTTGAAGTATATACTTATTATAGTATAAAAGACATTAAATATTTTGCCGTACATTATGAGTGGAGTTATTAATTTCTACAAAGAATAAATGTCCAATATCCACAATGGTATGCATTCCAAAGGTTTATAACAAATTGCTATTGAGGATCCGATTACAAAGATATATATTTGCAATCCATTATGTACTAAAATCGGACATCGAAGTTCTGAAAGCAAAAATTCATAATTTTTAATGATCTTGAACTATCGTAAGGGCCACAAAAAGTCCGGTTCTAAATTCTACGTGCTGAGGGCAATACTTAGCCAAGTAGGAGTTACTGATTTCTCCATTAACTAGTTTTTTAATAAATTCTTTTTCTCACAAACAACCTTTACGCACAAGATAACTCGTGGCATTTCAGTATAAACAATAAAAAGGAATCACGTTTTTATCACGTATTTATTCTTATAAAGGTCATTACAAAAAAGAGTAATTATATTTAACTTAAACTTTTGCGATTCTTATGCGATTTTAAGTAGTCGATTTGATTTTGTGATACGTACAAAAATGTCATAGGTAATTGAGAACTTATGGTAATACGAATCGTGTGGTAAACATTTTATCTTCCTCTACCGCGACCACGGGGAAATCCTCTTCCACCCCGACCACGTATAATCTTACTATTAGCTGGTGGACTCTTGGGTCGCAGTGATTCGATACGTGTTGTACAACCTGTGGCAGGCGCCTCGGCAAAATACGTCTGATAGAGTTCGGCATTAAAGTTGGAATTTGTTAATTCCGGACCGACTGTTAACCAGCCGGGGCGTATACTCGAGTCACGACCAAACAAATGCAATCGACGACGTCCCAAACAAAAATGTTCAATAATGTGGAAAATCTCGATGGGTTTTTCAAATGAACCAAATTCATCTTCCTCGGAAATGATCAAATCGATGTCAACATTGGCATGGATAAAATCGCCATCGGTGGAACGCCTCACCGTTCCTTTAATGCCCATCAGACAATGTTCTTTAGTACGTTGAAATACAGCCTTTGGCTCCAACTGTTTGGAATGGCCTGGTTTGTTGATATTGGTGCGTATCCAACAAATATCCTCACAACGCCTAAAGCCCCATTTCTTTAGGCAATTACGTCCCATATCCAAGCCTTCTGAAGAACCGCACCATAAGAACACAAATGAGCGATGGGCTGCTATTTCACCAACATCAAGATCTAAAAGTAAATTTATGATTAGCATACTGGCGTTATACAGCTTTCTTAACTTCTTCTTACTTAGTATTTCATCCCAATTCCAAAAAACTCTAGGTGCACCACCAACTGTGGCCACAGATGGTGCAGCCCGAGCATACTCCTCAAGTGGCGGTTCTATGAGTATAACATCGAATTTGGTTCCCAAGGTTTTTACATCTAAAGTCTTAAGATCTGCCTTTAAATACATCGGTGGGGAAGCCGTGTCCTGTATTAGTTTGTCCTTGAGACGAATCAATTCTCTTAGCTTAGGATATTCCTCAAACCGGTCTGCTAAGCCTACATCACGTATAAAGTTTTGTGGTCTTTGACCGGTATCCACAAAGTGTTGGCAGTAATCGTTATGCGGATTTGATGACTGTGTTCCCTTTAGAAATGTTGATGAATCACGGTAAATAATTTCTCCTGGAGTTTTCTTCGATGAACTAACACCGTCGGCATCTTCGTCGTCTTGAGATCTCTGGCTATTGTGCACTGAACTTGCACTGGCTCCAAAGCTATTTGAATTCAAGTTGGAACCATTATTCGACTCATTGTTCCCCAATGCAGTTTTCAGTTCATCTACACTGGACAAGCCCAACTGGTGAAAAGATAGGAAATAACCAATAGTTAATGACATTTCTGGTGCAATAAAAATGGAACTTACTGTTTGTGCCAATAATTGTTTCCGTTTACGTGATCGCTCCTGAGAGCTTTTTAGAACATCACTCATGACTTCATAGGGTTTTGTATGGTAAAAAATGTAAAAAAATTCACAAAACTTGATTTGTGTTATAATTTTCTTAAATAATGCAGTTGTGTCGTGCCGGAACGATGCAGTTCAAATGAAGTGTTCACTAAAATGAATTCTCGGAACTAGATGCAAATTAGTCGTTCACAAAGGTATACGATTTCCCATGACTTTTTCCAAACTGATCCTTTCTCACTCACTGAACAAGCGAATTGCAAACTTTCCTCTTTGATGATGCAATGAGCGATTGAATATAGTTAAATGAAATCAATGACATACAACCATTTACTGAAAGGATCTTGTTTCTTTTTAAGAGTTCTGCGACGATTAATTTGTTCGTTATCGGCGTTAAGCCGTCATATGTGGCTCAGTTGTAACATATCTTGTATAAAACATTAGGGGTACTCAAGGTAAATTATTTAAATTATTCTTAAAAAATTAGGTTGGGTAAACTGAATTTCTCAGTTTGGACATTTTAATTTATTTTATTCGACTATATAATAAAAACTTTTTATTAATATTACGTGAAAAATAATTCTATTTAGCATTTTTTCTGTTAGTGTTAGTTACAAACATCTTACATTAGAAGTCTTTAGGGTTCACGTCTTTGATAATAGGGTATATCAACTATTTTTCTTGAAATCAATATACAATTTCAGAATATTCTACAAGAAAACATTCAAATTATAACCGAATGGTAAAATATGACAATTCTTTATTAGAAAATAAAATTAAACAAAATCCTTGTCAAGTTATTTCAAGATGTCCTCATTTTTAACTAGAATATCCAGTTCTAACTCTTCGTAATTGAAATCAATGAGATCTTGGCAAAGGCATAATTTTGAAAACATTTTAAATACGTTATTGCATAAGATTATCTTTGTTATTCTTTGTTATCTATAAAAAAAAAACACCTTTAAACTTGCATTCTTTGATATTCACTTTTAGTAGAGCAATTTCAATTTTTACCCATATTTTCCATTGTTAATAAAATATTAGTATTTATATTCTGTGTTCATATTTATTTCAATAAAATTTAAAATTTCCGTAGCATAATTAATGAAAATTTATATGAAATGATCCTTTAATATGGCGAAAAATGACCGGCAAATATATCCCATATGTATTTTTTTTGGTGCAATAGTACCTTAATAGGTTGCTAAATTTCGAATGGGTCCTGAAAATACATATCCCAAGGCTGTTTGATAAGCATGAACATCACCGATGCCACTAAATATGGAACCATCTCGACGTATAGCAGAGTATGTGTCTGCTCCCAGTTCAATGTCAATGGGTACATTATTAGTTGGGTCTATGTCGGCAATATTGTCATGACCGAAACTGCGAGTAGGGTCTTCATCGATTGGGTCGGAGTAGAGTCTACGTGGTAGTTCATCGGTAATAAGTGCATGAACCCTCAATAGCCAAGTGCTACGATCATGTCTTGACATAATATTGAATGTAGTAAAATTACCATCTTTATATTGAAAAGATTTTAAGCCCAAGCGACGAAATGTTGTTGTTGAAATTTTCGACATAATCGATGATTGACATAGTAGGGCCCTGACAGTTATGTACGAGTCAAAGGTGTCCTCAGCAACTTTGATAGTGACCGTTGGTACAAAAACAAAGTCCCATTTAACACTGGGTGTTGATGGTGCCGCCACCAAACTTTGCACATTATCTAGACGTGGCCTAAAGAATTGCGGTTCTCTTTCTTCCCGTTGCGGTCGTTCCAACAAGTTGTTCATCTTCGGTTGCGGCTTGTTTCGAATGATCTGGCGATTATTATTATTATTCCTTCGGGCTGATGTACTTGTAGGTCGACCACGGTCACCTAATTGGGCAGCTCCATGCAAATGGGTGTGATGCCGTTCCTTACAAATCCGGCATCCATCTAATGATGGGCATGCTGGTGCCAGATGACTTCTTGCCAAACAATTTCTGCAATATCCACCACGCATCGCAGTTTCAAAGCGCTGAGTCGGTGAAAGATCACGAAAACGACGGCATGTGCTGAGAGCATGATCGTCTTGACATATACTACAAGAATATTGCCAATTACTTGGTCTATCACGTTCACCCGAACCACTTCGACGATCGTTGGATCGAGATCGATGTCTGCGCTGATGCTGATCAATAGCTATGGCTCGATCATTTGAGCGATGTCGCCGTGCAGAAGGCCAATCATCATCCTCAGGTAAATATGCTGCCATAACTAAAACATGTACATAGGTATGTAGGTCAAAGATTTCAGAACAAATATTAATATAAATTCCAATATTTTTATCGTGTCATAAAGATACCTTATTTCAAGGATTAATGTGGGTCAATTGATAAAAATGTAAGTCATTTAGAGGAATTTGCAAAAATTCTTTGCAAAATGGTATTTATAGTCCCTCGTGTATACAGACTTTTCATACCAAGTGTAAGCGTACACTCATATGAAAATTTGGGTAAGCAGCTTTGGGCTCAAATATTGAAACATTTCTACGCAACGTCTTTCGTCTTTATTAACAAAATGAAATTGCATTCAATGTTAAGTTGATTACAAGTCTTTCCTCAGCCAAATTTAAAGTACAATATATCTAATGGAAAGACAACTGCAAGTTTGCAATTGAGGGTAGCGGCATAACACATACATTTGCATGGTGCTATAGATACACACAATTCACTCAAAGGCGAATGAAAGCCAAATTTATTTCTCTTACCGATGTTTTTTTATTAATTCATCTTTCAATGCTTACCGATGTTTTGAACTGTTTTCTTTATCCCCTTTTAAATTACAAGATTCTTAAGCTTTTCCAAATCCTATCAGAGAATTTCGAATACGGAAGCAGAAAGTCCTGTCCTGGTAGCAAGCCAATGATTCTAGACTGAGTTCTAGTAATCTCCCCAGTCAGCCGTTTTTATTGTTGACGCCGTTAAACGGAATTCAAAGTGTCTCAAATGTGTATAGGGCTTGTACGTTTGAATTTTTTTTGAGCTGGCAAACTAATCATGAAGATATATTACAACAACTAATTAGCTAATATAACAAAAGAAACAGGATAATGAGCAGAATGCAAAACTACACAATTTGAAAATTGATATTAGTTAGAACACAAAACAAGCTTTAAACACTACACCAATAATCACTATGATTTACAAAATCAATATTAAACACTTTTAGATAATTTCTATCAAATTAATAATTTAAAAAAAGGTATAATTAATGATTTTTTCAAAAGCACGAATCACCACAATTTTTTGAAACTAATCACAACAGGGTTGGCAACAGGATTTTGTAATTTTAGGGTTTTAGGTACAGGATTTTGTAATTATGCATAGTACTAAAAATCTGCTTTTGTAAACGAAAACCGAATAAAACTTGATGCTCTGGTCCAGAACTTGCAACAATCTTGCAAGTTTTGCATTTTGTTCGATGTCATAAAGGGAAACTTTGTTATCGGAGTAAAAAGTCTTAGATTCTTGCAGTTCTAGAACATACCATTTACTAGGAGAATTTGGCGGTGTAAACAAATGTTTGCGCGTGGTCTGTTCCAGAACTGCCAGAATGTAAAAGGTATGATAGCCGTTTTTTCTATTATTATATCGAAAAAAATGCAAAAGTGGTCGATTCTTCCAGTTTCTGGAAGGAAACGGAAAACAACGGAAAACTAGAAAAATGCCAAAATTTAATGACAATGCCGTGGCAGATAATGCAGCTAGAGCATTGATATGTCAAAAAAATTTAAATGTTTTTTTTTTTTTTTTTCAAATATAAGTAGATTTTTATATGTTTTCTACGTCATTCGGAGGCTATTATAATTCGCGTTTTCAACAATTTTTACAAATTTAAATAATTTTTCATTCAACATTTTCAATTCCAGTTCAGCTGTGTCGACGCGTCTACCTATATTCTTCTACCATGGGCAACGCTTTCAGCCGCTCAGAATCTGGCAACCATTGGCCTGCCTACCTGCTCTAGCTGTATTATTCTGCCACGGCATTGTCATTAAATTTTGGCATTTTTCTAGTTTTCCGTTGTCGTACTTTCTAAGAAGTTTTCTCAGAGCTAATCTAACATTTATCTCTATTTTTAGTTTTACTACTAAAAAAAGTGCGGAAACAAAACAAATGCAGGTAGTCTGACATTTTTCAAGACATTAAATTTAAAATTAATTACGAAGAAAAACGAGTATAAGGCTGCAAATACATAAAAAGCTTGAAGTCATGGCTAGGCATATTAATGCCAAATTATAATGAAAAACGACGGCAGGATTTTAGTGCGGCTCTGTAATTCCTTTGTGAAATGTCACAAAATAGGCCGTGCCATGACTTCAAGCTTCTTATGTACTTAGCCCTTAAGTTTAAGATCAAAATTTAGAAATGAACAAAAAATATCAAATAAATGAAAACAACTTGTTGCCTATAATTTTGAATAATTCTGACAGGAAGCGGGCATAGCCTCAGGGCTGTATTTCTGTAGTTTTCAATGGTTTTAACGACATTTACTGAAGTTATTAGTTCTTATAGCATTATAAGTTACCTATAGAAATAAGATTTTATATGAGATATAAAAGAGTGTTTCTCTCTCTCATAAATAAGCATAATAAGCTATCCTTCCTTGCTTGTTATAATTATTAAAAAGTAACTCAAAGTGTAGAAGTTTTGTTGAATGTAGGTTTACCCATGGTACAATGAAGAGAAGGTAGGTCAACTTTGAAAAAATTGCAAGTATAGAGGTCTACCTGTTTGGCTTGAAATGTCAGAGTTAGTATCAAAACAATAAAAAATCAAACAACTTGTTGCATTTATTTTGAATAAATAATTGAAAATCAACACTCTTTTCAAAATCATGTACTATATATCTCTAAAGGATTATTTCGCTACAAAAACTCTAGATTTTGTCGATGCATGCGTTGAAATTAACATTTTGAAAACACCCGAATTTGAATTTTTTCTGAACAAATTTTTTGTTATTGAAAAGAAAACACATACATAAACAAATAAAGATGGCATATTAGGCCAAGAAAATAAAAAAAAATTAAAATCATATGGTATCATAGCCCTACCTTGATATCATTGTACCATGGGTTTACCATTTGTTGTCCAATAACGTCGAAAATACCCTTTACAACTGAACTTGAAATAATTTCCAATTATTTGAATTTTTTATTCAAAACAATACACACAAATACAAACTGTGTACATGCTTTGGTAGAATAGGGACACCAAAACCTTCTGTAATTGTGTCATGGTCTAATCTGAATTCATTCTACAAAACTTACCATACAAAAATAGATCTTGTCACGATCGGGTTTATTTTAAAGCCGGTGTAGAACCTACATACTAACGGAAAACCAACATTGGTACTGCGGTACACCCCAAAGTCCCAAATGTTACCGCAAAGCCAAAAAAAAAAAAAACAAAACTCAACGATGCCAAAAAAAAAACTTAATCGATAGTATATACCATGGTACAATGAAGAGAAGGTAGGTCAACTTTGAAAAAATTCCAAGTATAGAGGTCTACCTGTTTGGCTTGTAATGTCAGAATTAGTATCAAAACAATAAAAAATCAAACAACTTGTTGCATTTATTTTGAATAAATGATTGAAAACCGCGAAAACTGAATGAAAGGTCAACACTTCTTTTCAAAACCAGGTTCTATATATCTCTAAAGGATTATTTCGCTACAAAAACTCTAGATTTTGTCGATGCATACGATGAAATAAACATTTTGAAAACATCCGAATTTGAATGTTTTCTGAACAATTTTTTTGTTATTGAAAAGAAAACACATACATAAACAAATAAAGATGACATATTAAGCCAAGAAAATAAAAAAATTGAAATCATATGGTAGTTCTGCCCTACCTTGAATTCATTGTACCATGGTATATACTCGACATAACAAAACAGCCAACTACAATTGTGGCCATGTGGCAACCTTAAGCATTTATCAAACATCTACTTAGTGATACCTATTTCATTAGTTATCTCTCTGATTACCGATACATTTTGATGATATTTTAAGTTTCTTTAAATAGTTTAATTAGTATTTAAATAACAAAATGAAAATTTTATATAAAACTCTGCTGTTTACAGCAGTGTTTATGGCTGGTTTCCTGATACTGAACACCATGGCTCAAAGTAAACAAAAGGTAAAATATATCCGCTCAATGGCTCCGGCATGCCAGGCCACGTCATTTTCCTATGACCAGAATCAACAAATTCTTTCTATTGTAAAAATGCCGGTTGTTGAACTAATTGTTGTATTTCTACTCCATATTTACAGAGTGGCTTGTCGCTGTCCGAGAAAGTACAAAACCTCATGGATATGAATAATAAAAAGGCTTTGTTACGTTTTAATGGTCAGAAATTTAAGGAATATGTTAAAAACTCGCCCCGAAACTATTCCATGATTGTTATGTTGACGGCGTTGGCTCCATCACGTCAATGCCAGATATGTAGACATGCCCATGATGAGTTCCAAATTGTGGCACAATCTTATCGCTTTTCACCGGTCTACTCGAATAAACTGTTCTTTGCCATGGTTGATTTCGATGAAGGTTCCGATGTTTTCCAAATGCTACGTCTGAACACTGCCCCTGTGTTCATGCATTTCCCAGCCAAGGGCAAACCAAAGGGAGCTGATACCATGGATATTCATCGTGTGGGTTTCGCTGCTGATGCCATTGGCAAATTTATTGCTGAACGTACTGACATTCAAATTCGCATATTCCGACCACCAAATTATTCTGGTACCGTTGCTATGATAACGCTGGCTGCTTTGGTTGGTGGTTTCCTCTACATGAGACGTAACAATTTGGAATTCTTGTACAATAAATCAATATGGGGAGCAATTGCGGTGTTCTTCTGTTTCACCATGATCTCGGGACAAATGTGGAATCACATTCGTGGACCACCACTTGTGCACAAGTCACAGAATGGTGGTGTAGCCTATATACATGGATCTTCACAGGGCCAATTGGTTGTGGAGACCTACATTGTCTTGGGTTTGAGTAAGTGAAATTTTTAGAGATTTCAATCAATCAATTTATTAAAAAATGTATGTTTTTTATTTACAGATGCTTTGATTTTCTTTGGCATGCTGTTGCTTACTGAATCAGGCAGTCAAACAGATCCACGTAAGGGACGCATCATGTCCATAGTTGGTTTGGCACTATTAGCCATATTCTTTTCATTCCTACTTTCGGTGTTCCGCTCGAAGGCTCAAGGTTATCCCTATAGGTAAAGAAAAGTCTGCATTTTTGTCGTTTTTTTTTTTCTAACAGCCAACTTTATTTGTTTCATTTCAGCTTTTTATTTAAATGAATATATTTATGGAAAAGTTTATAATTACCTAAACTTATTACGAAATTCAATAGATGCGTTTTTCTATACATAAAATAATTTACGTGAGGAAATAAACATGTTTTGTTTTTGTGTAAACAAATTGAATAAAAAAATGTTTTCCTTAAATTAAGTGAAAAAAATGAGGGCACATTACTTAAATAAATGGTGTGAATATGTAGAATAGTTGGTTTACAAAGTATCTCAAGTTTGAGCACCGGGTACTTTTTTCAATTCAAAAATATGTTCCCGTACCAGTAATCAGTGAGTAGTAGATCTCCTCGCAATAGAGTTCAGTGTCGATCTACGTTTTGGGCTATTGAATAGAACCTTCCATTTTAAGAAATATGAAAGCCCCAGACACACGACAACTAAGAATCAATTACCTATTTTTTTAAAAATAATATATTTTCTTAAATGTCAAAAATGCATTAAACTACTAAGTACAATTGATATGTATGTAGGAATGTTTGGATGTTACAAAAATATATTACTTTGGTTTATAATAGCATCATTAATACCGGATACTTTGCTTCGAAATTTATAGCAAGAAGGGTATCAAAGCTTTCCGTTGTTTGGGGTAGTTCTTGAAGTTTTCCTTATACCATTTGTGAGTCAACAAAGCGTTCATAAGCTGAAAGTAAATACAATACTCAATGTTATTATTCTTTTTTATAGGAGAAATCAACAAATAGATTTCCATGCACCACTTTTAACGGCCGAGGAGAATTTTTTAATTTTATTTCAAATTCAAAATTTGGATGTATAAAATTAAGAAATAAATCAAAATGTATTGGCATCCAAACAAACACTCAGCAGTTAAAAAGTGAATTTTGGGAACAATTTTTTTACAATTTCAGAATTAGACAGTTTTTTGGGAGTCACCTTTTACCAAAAACTGAGATTTGGTTATAGTATTATGTCTAAATTATGAATTATGACTAAAATAGTTAATAGGACAAATGAATTTATATTCTATCGAGGTTAATTTATTAATATTTATTACTAATTTTGCAGTTAAACGTATTTTTATTTCTTCTCTATCAGCTATTGTTAACGTTTTTCATATTTTATGGTAGTAAATACTAACCTGATTACTGAAAACCCACACTACGGCTAATTTCCAAGTGAAACTTTTTCCCACAATGCCCAACAATGAGACGTACATTAAGATTTCGAAAAACATATGTGGCGATGATACAACATTGAAAAAGCCTCCAGTTGGCATTAAATGTTTCTCCGTTTCAACTTTGCCGGTGTTGGGATTTTTTCGTAAATTAACCAATATCATATTTGATTTATACTGCTGCGACCAACTAAAGTGAAACACAAATATGCAGAAATATTGTAGTAAAGTGATTTTGGTAAAGCTGAATGACGAGGGCAGGGAACCTGTAAAACAAAAACAATAAACAACATAAAATTTAAAATTCAAAGCTTTTTATTACAAGAAATTAGCATACCTCGAACAAAACCTTCAGTGTTCAACAGCAATGCCAGTATAGCTCCAAAATAATGTAAATAACCCACCATATAGTGAGACAGATTCATTTTACTTTTCTTCGAGAAAATCTGTACAAAATTGGTTTCGTAGAATCGCCGGGCACATTGTAATGTCATAAGGACACTGGCCACCAGAGCACTATTCGAGTTGATTAAAATTTTACGATTTTCAGCGCCACCAGCAACAAAATCCAAAAACTCCAACACATAATCTGGAGCTGTCGTGTGCATAATAATGCCTTTGAGTACTAGGTATAGGGCCAACAGTGCCCAGGAGAAAGCAAAAACATAGAAATGACTAAACCATGATTTTGGTACTTCCATTCGGGAAACTAGTGCTATTTCGGGGCCATTGTGTTTATGTTTTCCATAACGAAAGGATTGTTTTATGAAATCGGGTAAGATGGGTTCCACCACCGTAATGAGCGAACCAAAGATAACAATAACTACAGTGAATCCCAGAAATGTGGTATTAATTAAGTTGATTTTATTATTTTTCAAATACTGCTCCACTAATTCAAGTAGCATGTTGTTACAATTAATAATTTTATCTTCAAATACAATTAACCGCCCGTGTCGTCGTGAATTGAATGCTAAGAATGTTAACTGTTTTCCGCTTTCACTTTGGCTCAAAACGATAAAAACAAATACCAAAGCACATGTATTAGGTAGTCGCATTAGTACAATAGAAGTAAAAATCAAAATTATTAATGAAAATTAGTATATTAAATATTTATATTAAAAAACATATATTTGAAAATTGTTTATCATAGGAATTGTGTCGTTTAAACAAATTTATTCCTGTAAATTAGTTGAGAATAATTTTGTTGTAACAAATTGCTAATGCGACTCTCTAATATTTTCACCGTGACAAATACATACAAATATTTGTAACGCGGACAAGTCAGGTGTCTCTAGACACAATTAAGGGCGGTTTGCGTTTAGCGGAAATAAGGGTTGTCGTTGTTTCATTCACAGGCATATAAATACTTTTTGCTGTGTTCGTTCCTATTACTATCCAAGGCACAATTGAGCCATGGTACTATCCATGGTAGAATAATTCAAGTAGTCGCATCGACACAGCTGCTGTCTACACGATTTTGAAATTAAAAATGTTGAATGAAAAATTATTGATAAATTATATTATAAAATTGTTGAAAAATGCATATAATAACAACCTCCGATTTTCGCTGTATAAGAAAAAATATCAAAATCTACTTATTTTTTAACAAAACATTTAAAAAATTTCGACATATTTCAAAAAAGCGGACAGTTAGAAAAGCAATCGACTCGCTCGTTAGCTGCAATTTAACATCTTAAATTTTGATACCCTCCACCTTGAAAGGGAGGGTATATTAACTTTGTTTGTAACATCCCTAAATATTCGTCGTAGACACCATAAAGTACATCTATTCTTGATCAGCATAAAATTCTAAGTCGATTTAACGATGTCCGCCCGTCTGTCAGTCGGTTGAAATCACGATACAGCCCATATTATTAGACGTTGAGCTTAAAAATTTGGCACAACAATTTGTATTGTGTCTAGAATGGTAGAATGGAATGGAATATCGGCACACGTTTCAGTATAGCCGCCATATAATGGTACCCCCCAACATTCGGCATTTTGATGATTTTGGCCACATCTTTTTACGGATTTGTCCAAAAATTGGCATTTGTTGGTCATAAGGGGTTGTAAGTCTGGTAGCGAAACATTGTATGCATAGGTCCACGTTTTTGTATAGCCCCCATATAACGGTACCTCCCAATATTCGGTACTTCGATGATTTTTGCCTCATTTTTCCACGTATTTCTCTAAAAATTGGTATTTGTAGTTCGTAATGGGTTTTAACTCCGCTGGTAGAACATAGTATATATAGATCCACGTTTTGGTATAGTATAAAATTGTCTATAGAGGTTCCTGTTAAAGTATGGCCCCCATATAACGGGTTTTTGAACAATTTTACAGCAGTATCCAAATGTTTAAAGTGGGACACGTCTGAATTCAGATACTTTTATATAAAAAAAGTTTTCTTTACACAGTGGTATTAAACGTTCGGCCCGGCTGAACTTAATGTTCTTTTTTTTACTTACTTGTTAATAGTAAAAATCGGCATTTCGTCTAAAAACTTATCAATACAGTTCCATAATTTGGCGTAAACTTATAAATTTTTAAAAATGTTACACAACTAATACACATATAAATATTTTAATATACGAATGACATCAAAATTACAACATTTCCTCTTATTCATAATGACATTGAAGTATTTAATTATTGTAGCTATTTTTAAAAGCAAGTAAGCAGCTATTTTAAAAATTATACAAATGTATATAAATCGTAACACAAATACTTTGAGTCCTTATGTAGAATTGTTCGAATGACCCAAAAATGTTTAAGGTTTATAAATAGTATACATAATACAGAATACCTTTGGTGGGATTTTATACCAGAAATGGTATCAAAGCTTTTCTTTGTTTCGGATAGTTCTTAAAGTTTTCCTTATACCACTTGTGAGTCAGCAGGGCAATAATAAGCTGAAATTAAAATATATATAATATTAATTTGTAATGAGAGGATATTTTTAGAAATAAGATTTTTCACTTCATTCAATGCAATGAAGGCAATGTTAAAGAAAAGGTGACATTTTTCTTAATTCACCCTTAATTTTAATGGAAAAAAATGTATACGTAAAATACCTGATTACTAGAAACCCACATAACAATTAATTTCCACGTGAAACTTTTTCCCACAACACTCAGCATTGAGACGTACATTAGGATTTCGAATAACATATGTGGCGATGATACAAGGTTGAAGAAACCTCCAGTTGGCATTAAGTGTTTCTCTGTTTCAAGTTTATGGGTGTTGGGATTTTTGCGTAAATTTACCAAAATCATATTTGATTTATACTGCTGCAACCAACTAAAGCAAAACGTACAAATGCCAACATATTGTACTAACGTGATTTTCATTAAACTGAATGAAGACGGCAGGGTTCCTGTGAGAGACAACAGACAACATTAAATTTAATATTCATATTTATTATCACAAGAATTTAACATACCTTTCACAAAACCTTCAGTGTTCAACAGCAATGCCAGAATAACTCCAAAGTAATGTAAATAACCTACCACATAGTAGGGTATATTTATTTTACCTTCCTTGGAAAATATCTGTACAAAATTGGTTTCATAGAAACGCCGTCCACATTGTAATGTCATAAGGACACTGGCAACCAGAGCACTATTTGAATTAATTAAAATGTTACGGTTTTCCGAGCCACCAGCAACAAAATCCAAAAACTCTATAACACTTTGTGGAGCTGCAGTGTGCGTTATAATACCCTTGATTATTAAATATAGTGCCAACAGTGCCCAGGTGAAAGCAAATATATAGAAATGTCTAAACCATGATTTTGGTACTTCAATTCGGTTAACTAGTGCTATTGCGGGACCATTGTGTTTGTGTTTTCCATAACGAAAGGATTGTTTTATGAAATCGGGTAAGATGGGTTCCACCACGATAATGAGCGAACCAAAGATAACAATAATTACAGTGAATCCAATAAATGTGGAATTAACTAGGTTGATTTTATTATATTTCAAATACTGCTCCACGAATTTGAGTAGCATGTTGTAATAATTACAATTTTTTCCACAAATACAGATAACCGTCACTGATGCTATGAATTGTATGCTAAGACTGTTGATAGCTAACTGATTTCCAGTTTTTCATTAACAAATAAAAATATATATTTAAAACAAACCAGAGCGTTGTCTCCTTAATTTATTTTTAGTCCATGATTTTGGATATGTCCATAAAAGAATGAGAGCAAGTGGTTCTTGTGTTGCGTTAAGAACCACAATGGAAGAATGGAAACAACGCTGGGTAATGTTTTGTGTTGTAATATAAATTTAAATACCAAAATATATTGATATTTACAAGCCTTATAAATATCGGTAAATCCTACGTGAATTCAACAGACGAACATGTCCTCATCGACATATTCAACTTATGGAAAAGGGTATAAAGGCGTCCATAGAATACTGATTTCAATTCAAGATACAAAAATATCACAATGTGCCAAATATAACTGTCTTACCTTTCCAGCGATGGACAGACAAGCCTAGATTTCGTCCACATGTGACGCCTCACATTTTGGCCATATAATAGCCATAAGGCTAAGGATGTAAAAATGTATTTTGGCGCCAAAATGACGAGCTATTGAGTTTTCATATTATATTATTAGTACTATGATAACCGATTTTAACTTTACTATATCGAGAAAAAATCGAAAACTAGTAGATTCCTGCAGGTTCTGGAACAGAGCACATATATATTACATTTTCATATTATACATGTCATCATAAGTAAATCTAAATGTTCAGAGAGGAAATGGAAAAGAGACTGCATCGATAATTGGTAACTTGGTCGTGCATACCTTTTGTAGCCATAAGGGCTATAAGGCGTAAGGGTTATAATAATGTATTTTTACACCAAAATGACTAGCCACTGAGCTTTCTGTGTCATCTGATCATATACCATGCTTAATATTACGCAACGATAAAGGAATCTATACGTTTAAAAGGAGAAAATGGAAAAAGCTACACAGATTTGTTATTCACTGTATATTAATGGTGTGTTCCAGAATTAGAAAAATGTAAATCTAAAAATCTTTTTACTACGATAACCGATTTGTACTTTATGATATCGAAAAAAATGTATATTCTTCCAGCTTTTGGTACACAGAGTATATATTAACATCAACAAAGGACGTATATTGCCCATAAAAAATTGCATTTGAAAGATCATTTGAAAATCTTACAAAATAAACGGTAAAATAGCTTTCCTATTACAAGGATAATTTTTAAAGTTCTCCTTATACCAAATGTGCGTTTGGATTGCAATATAGATCTGTAAAAGAGTACAAATTTAGAACTTATAATGTTTCAAACAATTAAAAAAATGATTACCTGATTACTTATTACGGAAATTGCAAGAAGCCACCATGTAATACTTCCTCGAAAAAAGCCAAAAAGTAGTGAAACATATATGCCAATTTCAAAAAGCATATGTGGTGATGATACCCTTTCGAAATAGCCACCTCTGGGAAGCAAATGTTTTTCGGTGATCAATTTTCCAGATATTTTCTCTTTTCGTAGATAAATTAATATTAAATTCGTTTGATACTGTTGCCACCAACAGAAAAGGAAAACGAGAATGGAGCAATATTGAATTAATGATAATTCCAGTAAGTCGATGGGACTGGTAGTTGAACCTTTTGAGAAAAATGAAAATAAAAACAATAAATTTAAATGTTCAATAGAAAATATGCTTAAACTTACCTTCAACAAAACCTTCAGCATTTGCCACCAGAACAGGCATTAATACAAAATAGATACAGAAACTCAACAAATAATGCCTCATATCCAATCTGCTATTTTTCGAGAAAATTTGAATGAATATTGTCTCATAAGCTCGTCTTGCACATTGTAGGCCCATTAGCACTGTTACAATCAGACACTCTGTTGAATTTAATATAACTTTGCGATTTTTACCACCAGCAAGAATATTTAACAATATTGCCACAAATTTTGGCAGTTTACTTTGGAATATGTACATTTCTATTACTAGATAAATATAACATAATGATAAAATCGAACCCATTAGATAGGTGTATGAAATCCATGACTTGGGTACAGTTAATATTGATTTCCGGGAGCTATATAATGCATATTTGCCGAAAAGGAAAAATTCTTTGGCTCTCTCCGGTAATTTGAAATTAGTAAAATGCATTAGCGTGGCACCAATTATGACAAAGGTATTTAGAGTAAAAAATATTGTATTTATTATGTTTATATTCCAATATTCAATGAAGTTTATAATAGTTTGCCAAGCTGTTGGTGACATGGTAGTTCCTTCGAATAATAGTTGTTGCCTGTGGTTGCGAAATAAAACTAAATAGAGAACAGTCTATTTTCACACTTTTATTAACGAAAATGTGAGTTAATTTGTAATGGAAACCCGCATTTGTATAAAATTAAGGAAAATTGTATTGATAAGTTAATTTAATGGGAATAAATGCTAGTACATACGTTGTAACCGTTTGTATTAATTAAATATTTGATGATAAAACAGCAAACTTCGAGTTTTAACGAAATGAACATAACAGTTCATCCATTATAGGCCCTCTTTTTAGTTCTCACAAAATAAATATATGTTATTTAACCATATATGTTTGTATTTACTGAATATAGCTATTATATTGTAAATGGTATTATAGCCTTCCGTTTTCTTGGGTAATTTTTAAATGTTTGTTTGTACCACGTGTGAGTGCACATTGCATTGTATATCTGTAAAAAAATAAAAATATAGACTTTTAGTAGATTTGGTGACATTTTGAAATATTCGTTGGTGACAATCGTCCAGAATACGAAATTTTTTGGAAAAACATTTGATAAAGCACTTTCTTTATTAAAACATGCAACTTCAATCAAGACAAACGTTGGGAAATATTTACTAAGTACCTTGTGAAAATTTTTGGAAAAACATTTGATAAAGCACTTTCTTTATTAAAACATGCAACTTCAATCAAGACAAACGTTGGGAAATATTTACTAAGTACCTTGTGATTAATAATAGAGGAATAAATCTGTCAGTTGATAATAACAATGCCTAATGCTGGATTGAAGGATTTTGTACAAAGATAAGTATGTCATAACATATTCCACACTTCAAAACTCACCTGATTACTAGTAACCCATATGACAACTAGCCACCATGTGAGGCTCTTTTCCATGAAGCCCACCAGAAGAGCCACATACAAGACAACTTCAAATAGCATATGAGGTGAAGATATCCAGTCAAAGAATCCTCCCGATGGTAGCAAATGTTTTTCGGTGATCACTTTTCCTGTTTTGCGATCAGTGCGTAAATTCACTAATATCAAATTGCTTTGATATTGGTGCCACCAAGAGAAGAGGAATAAAGCAATTGTCACATAGTGGATTCCAGAGAGCTGAGAAAAATTGAGTCCCGATGGATGTGAACCTGAAACGTTGAATTATTTGTAAATCACTACTTAAACTTGATATCATATCCATAACTTACCTCCTACAAATCCTTCGGAATTTGCTAAAATCGTAAGAATTGTGCCAAAATAATGCACATAACCAACGGCATAGTGGCCAATGCTGATTTTGTTATTCTTCGAAAATATTTGTACAAAATTTGTTTCATAAAAACGTCGTGTACACTGCAGACACATGAGACTCATAACAATGAGACATGATGTGGAATCTATTAAAACTTTACGCCTTCGTCCGCCTCCAATAAAATCTAGGAATAACACAACTAATGTTGGTGTTTCCTTGCCCAATACAGATGATTGAAACACAAACCATAAACAGGACCAGGAAAAAATCAAAGCAAAAGTATAAAAATGTGAGAACCACGATTTCGGCACTTCTAATTTTGTTATCAGTAAACATTTTTGCCGTTCATTGTAGGCATGTTTGCCGTAGCGTAATAATTGCCGAATACCGACCGGTAATTTTTGTTCCATAACACTCATTAAAACGCCAAATATCACCATAAGAAAACACAAGACAAAAAATAGAAGATTTAATAAATTTATATTCCATTTTTCAATTAAATTTAATAGAAATTCCGGAGTTATGTTTAGCATTTTTTCGACAATCTATATCCGTAGTGCAACTTTACTCCTCTTCCGCAAGAAGAAACCTAAAATACATGACTGCGTTATCGGAATTCGTTTGGTTTAGGAAAAAATGCTGTTCAAAGTGCACATTAAATAAGAGATAATACCAAGCAGATACGACAAAAATTAGTGTAGGTCAGGAAATATTTGGCTATGTTAACATAAAGTTTTGTTGTAAATGTTTCAGAAATTTGTTTCAGTTTCGCGGTTTATATTCCATTTTGTCATACCCAGGCACGAGGAAACAAACAATTGGATTTATTGCCATATCGGTTTAAAAATACGACTGAGACGAGGGCTTCCGAGTCGTCGATTTCTTCTACAAGAACTATGGTCAAGATCCATACATATAGCCACAGTTGAAAGATGCAGTTGTTCTGAATGACTTATAGTAACAAAAGGTATTTCTGGTTACATTTCCTGCAGGAATTGTCCAGCAGCTGTGGAAGGTAAACAGACGGAATCTCTGCAAAAACGTGCATCAGCATCAGCTGATTTGTGAAAACAAAACAGTTTGTCCGCTAAAAAAAGAACGAAGCACGCAAAAGTTAAAAATAAATAAATTTTAAATTAAAATCAATTTGAAACAATTCCATGGGAAAATCAGTCTAAAATCATAAAAATATCAGATATCGGAAGATACCGTTATATGGGCTATGGAAAAACGTGGTTTTATATGGACTATCACACAGCAAAAGTGATAGAACCCATGTAAACTTAACCTTATGATATGTTACGTTACGTTGCCACCAATAAACTTGTACGTTGCGTAGCGTACGTTTGCGTTACATACTTTTAATAACTTGACAATGTCAGCTGCTAAAGCATTCTCAGAAGTTCGTGTTTAGAGGTAGCTACAAAGCCAGCATTTCATTCGTAATTTGCTTTTTCCGGCGTCTGGTCCGCGACAATTTTGAAGAGATCATCAATTAAGAATAGTGAATGTGAATTTTACTTATAACCAAAAAGGTAATATATATAAAATTTAAAAAGTTACACTTAATATTACAAATGTTTTACATTAATTGCAGATTTAATCTATTTGGAGTTAATTACTAGCGGCAAACATTGGAACACGAATACTGATACGAGTATTTTTTGCTGCAACAAAGCAAGCAGTCCAAGGGGTAGTTTTTAAATGCAGATGTGGAACATGATTTAATTAATTTAAGTATTTGATTAAATGCAGTTATAATAATATGTTGGATATGTTTATCGATATATTTAACAAAAACTTTTGTAGATTCTTTAGTCTAAGATGTATTAGAATAAAATCTAGAATGTAGCTCAAAAATAGTGGATATTGAGTTGTTCTTTTTCTTTGGGTTTATGGCAATTGTTTTTTTTTATGAGCTGATAAGGGATGGCATAAAATGGAATGTAGGCTGACATATTTTGTGGACATAGTAGTTGTGTTTACTATATTTTTCCCACGCTTTGTTCATATATGGACTGTGTCTAACATTGATATGAATAGAAGAATTCAGCGTATTTCACATAATTTTCCCCCATGTAGGGATTTCCTTTACAACCTACAATAATGTAATTGAAAAATGTTAACACCCTTTTCCTGTTTTATGTTTGTTGTAATTGATGCAAACGTTTCCGAATGTGTTAAACTGATTTAAAAAGAAAAATATAAAGGACAGTTAGTCAATAAAATATTTCTACTCCTACAGGAAATATTGTAAGTAATGAGAAAACTAAACTTTAAATTACTCCGATATAATGAATGAATTCAACTTAAAACCGTTTAATACTAACAGCTTCAAAGATCTGTATATGAGATGAAAAAACTGCAACCAACTTCAGACTGCTATAATTTCTAAGCCACTCGTCCGTCAACAGTTAAAATTATATAATATTATAAAAATGTCTCGTGATAAATATTGAAAAATTAGCTCGGGGTAAAGCCATTGAAATTCAAAAAAGTACAAGAACTTACACCGTAACAGAAAGAAAATAGACTCAAAAGAGCTATAGAGTTGCTTCGTTTGGCCAAAAGTTGTGAAGTGCCGAATTTGGTTTTCTTCGATGAGAAAACATTCGTTCTCCAGCAGTTTGTAAACAAACAAAATGATCATATTTACTTGCCAAAGAAGTCGGATAAAAATGTGCACCTTCGGTTGGCCACCAGAATTTAAGCGCCGGCCCTGGTGATGGTATGTGCCGCCATAACAGCCGATGGTCGCTCTCCGCTCGTATTAATCGGGCGTGGCATCAGAATAAATGCCGAATATAATAGGCAATAATATTCTGGAGGGTGTATTAAAAAAATACCAAAGTGTCGCTCCGCCAGGAATGGGCCAAAATACCGCAGAGCAACATTCGGGCAGCGTGTGGCTCTTTTCATTGGCCGTTTGAAGAACATAATTCGTGCCAAAGGTGACCAATTCGAACAAATCTAAAGTTATTCTAAAATTTGATGCTATTTCCGACATTTTTTGCTTTCATTCATAAAATTAAAAAAAAAATTGTAAAAATTATGGCGTTGGACTTTGTTGCAGTTTTTATCTCACCCTGTATAACTCTAATAACAAAAAATGTCTTTGAATATAAATATTGTCTCGACAAACTGTGTGCCCGGTTGTGGCACAAACATTCACACATATCTCCACTACTACAGGGATTCCTCATTGTTATTACAGTTCCGCGAAAACTAACCTCTGTTTAATCCTACTTACTTCACCATGTGCGATTTTACGAACACAGCCCAATGTTCCCAAGCATGTTTACCCAGGTAGTAGATAAAATAAGCAATCGTTTATTTCCCTTAAGTAGTCTTTGTTGTGAGGAGGGTTGAATTTCCTTGTAAGAATTGGCATGTTAACAATCTACCTAAAGCAAAAATACTAATAATTTTTTCCATCTGTTATAATACAACTGTAAATTGCATATTGTAGGAAGAACAAATGGTTTCCTTAATAGGTTTCAAAGCATTCTTTATTATTGTTTTCCTATAAAATTGATAATTAATAAATTGCAACCATAATAATAATCTCTACTGGTTAACATCTACAAGAAATATATGTTCCATATAGATATAGATGATGATAATAGTTCTTCTATTCATTCATATATGTTTGTATGTATTTCATACTGAGTATTGATATAAAATGTGATTATGTATAATTCTGTTCGTTCTCGATTTTTTTGAATTGTCCGCTTAACAGTACAGAATACGGGGACCAGATGAAGTTGGTTGTCATATATCCACACCGCCGCTGCGTGTTAAAGTGCCCCCCTTATATGGAGGAGGTTTGGGCCTTAGATATGTGTTAGATGGACTTTCAGTTTGATAGAAACTAGTGGGGCTTAAGAATCAAGATAAATGGATAAATATTCGAAATTTGTAAACTTTTTTGCATAAATACCTTTGGGAACGTACACTTGTATTGTCCAACAAGCAATTCGGGTCTTTAAGGCTCTTAAGTGTGGTCACAGGTTGAGAATTTGTATCGGAATACTGTACCATTTGAACTGTGGACGATGTTGTAGGATAGGTTTCCTTATAACTGAAATTACAGGAAATATAGAAATTACTTTTTATCAGTGAATTTGAATATTGAAAAATATATTTCACATTTTAATGATAATCTAATAGAAATAAATCACCTTTCATGATCTTGTTTTGAATCAGTATCAGAACCAGGCGACGATTCTAAACATTCTTCTTCGCAGATATGAAAAATGTTATCAAAAAAGAATTCCGATTTTGGATCGTGTCTAGAACAGAAATAATAATAAACAAAATAAAATAATAAAATGAAACAAAAATGAACTAAAAATCGGAAGGATCTATATGGGGTTATAACTTGGGATTCCAAACATTTTTAGAAGGATCCCTATAGGTTTTAAAATTTGCTTTTAATATATTTTTAGGAGGATTCGTAAAGTGTTATAAAGGAGTTTCCATAAGGAGCTATGAACATGATATTAGGAGGATTCGTAAAGGGTAACACAAGTGGATTTCATAAATACTTAGTGAAGGCTATGTAAGGGGCAATACGAGTGAATTTTATAAATGTTTTTGGAGAACTTTAAAGGTTGTTTAAGAGTACCAACAATGGATTATTAACATGACATATTAAATTTTTAGCAGGGTCAACATTACAGTATTTGTACACATTTTTAAGAAAATATATGATGCAGCATCGAAATTATTTTTTTATATTTTGAAAAGCTATAGGCAAATATTTAAAATTTTTTTACGATTTGATTTCCAAGAGGGATTTTAAAATAGCTTCAAAAAGATTCTTACGGGAATATCTTAACATTCAAGTATTTTAAAAGAAAACCAGTAAAGAAAGGGCGGGGTCGACTTTATGATATCCCACACCACTTTGCATATTTAGTAGAGATTGACATAACAACGAGGCATTTGTGCCTTTCAGATCGGGCTTGTATTACCCAATTAACAATTAACTTGAAATCGGATTAAGATATATATGGGAGATATATCAAAATCTGAACCGATCTCGATAAAATTTTTCAAAGGTATTTTTGAGCTGTATTTGATATATTTTCCCAAATATCGTTGTTACAAAGTGCTTATTACGGCTGTTGAGGACAAAAATAACAAATCGGATGAACAATATGTATGGGAGTTATAGCTATATCTGAACCGATTTCGATCAAATTTGGCACACTTATTAATAGGTTACATCGGAAGCAGAATTTTACGCTGACCAAGAACGTATAAAATACCTCGAAATACTCACAATTTCTGATGTCTGAAGCATAGCGTGGCCGTTAGAATACCACATAGCAGTCCAAATAAAACCGTTGGTATGGCAAAGGCAAATGCAAATTCATCAATATAATTTCGAATGGGAACATCCTCGCGAGCCATGCCATGCCAACGATCAGTTCGCCTTTTCAAATTTAACATTTCAGTTTGTCCAATAACTCTATTGTTGTTATTATTATTCTGATTTCCATTGGCAGCTGTATCATGATTATGATGTAGAACTTCTGGGGCTGAATCGGTGCCCACCATCTTGAAAGCACACCAATCCAATTTGAAACCAACATTTTCAAATATTTTCTGTACCGAAGTGCGTTTATATGTGCATGAGGGTAATTTGTATAGTGGACGTACTTCCTCCTGCAGTTGATTTAGGCGATCTGAGAATTTCGCAAAGCTTCCCAAATGTACAATAACGCTGAAATGAAAAAGAAATTATTTAATAGCGAATTTAGTAATGCATTTATTTATTATTTTACCCCTCATGCTGCTGGGGCCTTAATGGCAAACGTCCACCCATATTCACGGCCGATTCCATAAAAACTAAACTTAAATCCGATTCACTTTCTGGCCACAAATCTTTGCGGAAAATATTACGTAAATTTTCCACTCTCCCCGGATCCATTAGGTGTACCCAATTTAAATTGTCGATTTTCATTTGAACCACATTGGGTGCATGGAATTTAGATGCAATTGTTATATCCAACTGAGCCGTCCTTGTTTCATAGTTTTGTTTATTCAATGCCACAATCTCCAACGTAATTTTCTTTCCAGCCAAACGTCCCGGTGGTGTACCATACAGAAAACCGGCATGATGTTCGTGGCTATACATATAGCGCATCCATGATGGTAAATCGGGATAAGATTTCAATGACGGAGTGTAACGAAATTGTTCATTAATCACTTGATGGGTCCAATTAAACATGGACGGTTCTATTTTAAAGGTGTACAATTCTCCTACGGATGCTTGACCCACGATTTGACCGTTCGAGGTCGCACATAGGCACCCAAATAACAGCAAGGCCGTTGTCTGGCACCAAAATAATATTTTTGTTTTGAATAACATTTTCTCTCGTTTTCTTTTAATTTAATTCGAAAACATTATTTAGAAATGCTTATTTCAAGATAAAGTATTTTTTTCATTCACTTTAATGGAAAATTGAAAATTTGCGAATTATAAAATCGCCAGTCCGAGAAAATGTGTTAGCTGTGTATCTAAATGAAATTTTGTGGGTGGTGGGCGAAAATGGCAATAAATGTTTTCGGGGGGCGATTTGTGGGGAAAAGAGAATGCATATTGTTTACATGAGCATGGACTAATGAGAGACATAAACAGAGAATATACATAACGGTTACAACAACTCAAATTGAAAAAAGAAGGTTGCCATATTTATGAAAATACGTTCAATTCGATTACACAAAGAAAGTATCGATTATTAAACAAATAACGGATTTATTTGAATTATGGCTGTTGTGTTTCAGGACCTGTTAATTAAAGGTATAAATTGTGATTTTTAGCTATTATATTTTTGGCAAAACTGCTTAAAACATCTCAAGCACGTTTCGAGTTTGGCTTCACTGTCACGTATCCTCAGTTTGGTCTAAAATTTAACAATGAATAATCTTACAAACGAACAAGCTTACAAATCATTGAATTGTAATATCAAAAATTTGTGCTCGGCGAAGAAGCTCTTTTTGTCTCAATCCGTCCGTAAATAAGCAAAATTATAGACGTTGGAGTGAAGATCAGAATCGTTACAAAAACTACCAATGCATCCAGAAAGTCAGAATTTCTTTTTTTTATGAACTGATAGCATCATTGGACTGTACTTCTTCAAAGGAGCTACGAATCATAACGAAACGGTGAATGGTAAGCTTTACATTGTGATGATATCTAATTTATTGCGGCATGACACGTAATTTCAACATGACAGTGCAGCAGCATCCGTAACACTAGATATATTAAGAGGCAAGTCCATTGAACATTTTATTTCACGTTCGTGACCGGTAAATTGCGCGCCCGAGATCGAGTGGTTTAACAGCGTTAAACAATTTTTTGTGGGGCTATTTCTGTGTAGACGAGCCCGCTTCAATTAAAGCATTTGAAGACAACATTCAAAAAATTATTAGTGAGATACCTGCCGCAATGTTGGAAGGAGGTGGTGCAGGCACGGTCAACATTTGCATGAAATAATATTCAAACATTAAATTATTGTTCTGTTCCAGAACTCCAAAACTAAACAATTTTTTCTTACGATATCGAAAATAAATGGAAAATTTGTAAATTGTTGCAATTTCTGGAACAGAGCCCATATGGACCGTACTACCATTTAAAATAAAGATTTCATGCATTTTTCTGAAATTTTTGTGTTTTTAAATTCGGAAATGTTGTAAATGTATGTTTTTAAATAGCTCACCTTATGTTAATTTTGTCATTCCGTTTGTAACATCTTGAGAGTATTTTAACTTTAAAAATGAACCCGGTAATAGTGTTTGTTTGTAAGCGTTCTGTAAGTTTTGCAAGATTGCTTAAGGCTTTGTTCGCCATTTTCTGGCAACTCTTTTTGTTTTTTTTTTTTTTACAAAAATATTAATAACAACAGACAATAATAAAAACAAACTGCATAAATGCAAGAGGCAAGTTCTAAATAGAACAATCAAAATTGTCGCAAGTAAAATCGGCTAGTCTAAATCATGTGTATATATAGCTAAATCGATATTCCCTTTTAAAATAACGCATCGATGCTATCGGCACCGCCATCGATTTTTTTGCCATCTCTAATTCAAGTGATAAGACCAATTGATGAGTGGAAACATCAAAATTTTAATTTTTCTCCATCAAAAAAATACGTGGCGATCGAATAAAATAATAACTATAAAAAGAAAATAATGACATTTAATTGAAGGTGTATACAGTATTAGAATAAAGATGGCATTTTTAGAATATTTACAATTAATAGCATTCTTTGGATCGGCTATATTTACGGTTCTGTTGATATCGGTAGGTTTCACGGCTGTTGCTCTGACCGCACCTTCACCCTGTTTACCAGTATAGAAGCCGGTAGAGATAATCCTTCTATTCTCTTGTAGCTTGTAATCATACAAAAGTCTGTGACCACACCATTGCCTGTGATTAAACGCCACAAACAAGAGAAGACATTCTTGGATCCGAACATCTTGAAAAACATTGAATTCCCAAGCATAGAAGATGAGCCAAGTGTGGATTTGAGTGTTATTGTTCCCGCCTACAATGAGGAGGAGAGAAGTAAGTGTATATATATGGACAGATTTTAAAGTCTCATGGCAAGGTCAATGAAGTTTGTAAATACGATAAGTTCGTCAACAAACGAGGAAACTCGTCCCAATGAAACAAGAATATCCTTTGCTATCTAAGGAAGACATGTTTGTCTGTAAAAGACGGAATTCTATAATATTTCATGTATTTGTTGCAGTGCCATCAATGTTAGATGAATGCCTGGAGTACTTGGAAAATAAATCAAAATCAGCCAATTTTACATATGAAGTAATCGTGGTCAGTGATGGTAGTTCAGATGGCACGGTGGCGCTTGCATTGAAATACTCGAAAAAATACACCGCCGAGAAAGTCCGTGTATTGGAGTTGATTGAGAATCGTGGAAAAGGTGGTGCTGTAAGATTGGTAAGTTGGAGATTTATACCTAACGCAATGAATGGCGGGTAATATGGTTTGTTTCATACAAATCATCTAAACATATTCTATTGAGACTTTATCTGAGGTGTTTTAGGATTCTGTGAACGTCAGTTCGAATATTTTAAAAAACTAGTCATTCATACGCATTTTGTGGGTATCATCCGATATAATATCATCATAGCTTGCTGCGATTTGATTTCGTTTATTCTAGGTATTGTTAAATGCATGCCAAAGTATCGATTTAAATGATTTTTATATTTCATTAAAGACCGACAGTAGTTTTAAACATTTTATATTCTTACAAAATAATTCATCGAAAAACTTAATTTCGTACACAACCGTGAATGATAAAAATTGTGTTGGGCTTGTCAATTTGTTGTTGGCCAACATGTAGATAACGCTCAGTTAAGTTTGATAAAAATTTTCTTGGAAAACTGGTCTAATTTATTTTTAATTTCTAGGTCACTCATGTCTATGGGAAAACGATCAAAAATGTTAGTGCCAAAAATGGATATGACAAGCGCTAGAAGACTTCTTATTCAAAATTTAAAGACATTTTTGAAGACCTGAGGGGCTATAAACATAATTCTTTATATCTTCAGTCATATGATTACATTTGCCAAATCGTGCCCCATCGAAATAACTGTTTTAAACCCTATGTCTCTTTGGGCCAAATCCGTTTCAGGACATTCGGAGTCGAGCTAGTGGTTTCCGTCAGTCTATCTGGCTGGTAAGCATGATAACTATCGCAAGGGCTATACGATTCGGTCCATATACGAAATGGACAATATTGGTCCACTCCTTCTGGCATCTCCCACACAAAATAATTTACCTCATAAAAGAGGAAGAATCATTTAATTTTGTTCCAATTTTGCAAATCCAAATATTTTTTAGTGCAAAGTTAGGTGCCACTCCTCTGCCACCTCCTCTAAAAAGATTCAAAATTTTGAATAACTAAAGTGCTAATAAAATGTGAAAATACCTCCCAATGTTTCTTGAAAAAGATCTCCTTGTGCCTCCCACACAAAGGGGTCAACATTTTGAATAACCAAAACGCTCATCGAATGCGAAATAAGAATCATATTCTGGTCAAATTTCACACATCCGAATTTTTCCACCAACACAAGATCTGTTGTGAAAGTAGGTATACAGGGTGAGATGAAGAAACTGCAACAAAGTGAAATGCCATATTTTTTACATTTTTTTTTAATTTTATTAAATGAAAGCAAAAAAGGTCGGAAATAGCATCAAATTTTAGAATAAGTTTAGATTTGTTCGAATTGGTCACCTTCGGCACGAATTGTGGCCTTCAAACGGGCAATGAAACCGTCACACGCTTCCCGAATAATGCTCTGCGACACTTTGGAATTTTTTAGTGCCAACCTTGCTTTCCAAAATACTCCAGACACAAGAGTCCAACGGATTGGTATCCAGAGATTTTTGGTGGCCATTGTGCACTGGAAATGAAGCGAGGAACCTCATTTTGTAACCATTCTTGGCTTTAATACATTCTCCAGAATATTTTCGCGATAATATACGGCATTTATTCAGATGCCTAGATGTATGTCGATTAATACGAATGGAGAGCGACCATCGGCTGTTATGGCTGGCCGGCTGTTAAACTAATGTTTTCTCATCGGAAAAACCCAAATTCAACAGTTCATCACTTTTGGCCAAGCGAAACAACTCTTTAGCTCTTTTGAGTCTAGTTTCTTTCTGTTGCGGTGTAAGTTCTTGCACTTTTTGGAATGGCTTTATCCCGAGCTCATTTTTCAATATTTGCCGAATAGAATTTTGCGATATGTTCAGCTCACGAACCATTTTTTGGTCACTGCGACGCGGGTTTCGATCAAGACGCTTCTTTACTTTTCGAATCATTTCTGCTAATGTTGCAGTTTTCTTCCGCCCACTTCCTTGACCAGTATCACGGCAACGAGTGATGGTACGAGATTTATTCACATATAAATGTTGGAGTGGTTTTCCAGCCAAATATAAAGAAATCACACTATCACGCTTAAATTCCATCACGAATAACTATTTTTCTGGAAAACTCTCACCAAAATGCTTTTGTACGCTTGTTAACAATATAATGAGCTGTCACTGGAATAATTTTAACAGATGTCGGACGAGTAGCTTAGAAATGACAGCAGTCTGAAGTTGGTTGCAGTTTTTTCATCTCACCCTGTATATAAAGAGGTTTAGGGATCTCATTAATTCAATACTAATATGCCTTTAATACTTCCAAAATTTAGTAACAATTTCCTTTTTTCATTTAGGGTATGCTAAGTGCTCGTGGTCGTAATCTGCTTTTTGCCGATGCTGATGGTGCAACAACATTCTCTGATTTGGATAAACTAACGGAAGCTCTGGCAGCCATCAACAAGGATTGGACAGAGGATGCTGTTGTGATAGGTTCACGAGCACATTTGGAACAGGAAGCCATTGCCACAAGAAGTGCCTTTAGGTAGCCTATATACAAGTCATATCACAACATGTATTAACAAATGAAATTTCTATTTTCATTTTTTCAGAACATTCTTAATGCATGGTTTTCATTTTCTGGTATGGTTATTTGCTGTACGTTCACTAAGAGACACACAATGTGGTTTTAAGCTTCTAACACGGTCGGCGGCTAGAAAACTTTTTCGCATTATGCATGTGGAAAGATGGTAGGAAGTTTCTCTTATCAGTTTTATTTACTATAATTTAAAACTTTTGATTTTCTTTTTTTTTTTTTGCAGGGCATTTGATGTTGAACTCTTGTATCTCGTTGAACGTTTAAACATTCCAGTACGCGAAGTTGCCGTCAAATGGCAAGAAATCGAGGGCTCTAAATTAACCCCATTCTGGTCGTGGATACAAATGGGTGTTGATTTATTTTTAATTTGGTTCCGTTACACAATTGGTGCTTGGCAAATTGTAGATACTACCAAAGCCCATTCAGAATAATCTCCAAGAGTTTTTTCTCCTTCCTATACCTAATTACAAATACATATTTTTACGCACCCCTTGAATGTCTTAGTTTTGTAATTCGAAGAAGCAAGAAAAAAACTATTTTTACAATTGCAATGCAATTATATTTAAGTTCGTTTTTTTACTTCTACCAAAAAAAGAGTATGTTTTGATTTAATTTACATATTTAGAACTACGCATAGATAAGAATATTCTACCATGGATAAGAGAAAATATTGAACATTGCAATAAAAGCTTTTACATTTTGAATTTGGGTGAAATGCAGAAGCGTGTTTGGGGCTTATATCCCGAGGAGGGCATTTTTCAAAAATTCGCATACATTGTACATTAAAGCACCATGATTTACTACAACTTAAAAATTGATCACTACGTTTTCGGCACAGTTGTTACAAATTTGCAATAACTTCAAATCCATTTTTTATTCCCTGTAAACACACACCATATGTGAACTTTTCAAAAATACCTTTCCATCTCTGCACAATAAATCATAATTATTCCCTTGGATTTCGATTAAAAATTTAGAATACTTACATAGGTAGGCTTAAGGAATCTTCCTCCTTTACGCTTTACTCCAGACCGTGGAGATATTTTGAAAGATGTTGTATAGAAAATCTAATCAGAAAAGCAAACACAAGTGTTTCCTATGTCGATGAGGATGTAATTCAAAATTGTCTCTCGTTCAGACATAAATTTAATTTTTAGAGATAGATCAAATCGGTAAAATATTTCAACAAACTTATAATTTGTGGTTCCGAGCCTCCGATTATATCGTTGGCATTCATTGCCATTGTTTGAGGTTATATGAAGTCGATGGTTTATCTAGTGGTGCCTTCGGGTGGTTAGTTCCAATCGATAATGGAATTATGTTAGTAATTCCGAGACACTACTTATCTTTTAAAGACAGTTCATATACCTAGATGCCACTTTCAGCGATCAAATTTCTGGTTGATTAAATTGCACGATTGAATTCAAATATATTCGAGATCTTTTTGATGATGAAAGCTGTCTCCAAAGGGTTAAATTAATTAATAGGTGTGACTGCTAAATTTTAAAAATTCTACTCTAAAATTGGTATTGCAAGGTGTTACTGAAAGTCTGTTAACAATAAAGTTCTGCAAAAGAGAGCGGTTCGAAGGAGAAATTATGACAGTTCTTTTAATGTGCGTTAGGAACATTTTTGTCGGACAAATTTCTTTTTGCAATCACTTACATCTCATGTTCTCCTTCCATTGATTTATAGTTGGGGAGGACATTTTAATTATCTTTATTTTAAAATTACAAGCCTATTCAAGTACAAATAACAAATTCAGTCAGTCTTCGATTAGGGATGCTTTGATGAACTGAACAATCTACTTTTAAACTTTTCGATTTCCCCTATTGGAAAAATAGTCACTTCGATAACATGAAATAATCGATTGATCGATCAAACAAAAGTTGACTTCCACGTCCCTAATTAAGCCAGACTTCGATAGTAGTGATTTAAAGATTTAAAGGAAGGAAATTAGGATAGTTTTTTTTCGGAAAAAATTGGCAGTAAATTCGCGGTTTTTTATATAAAATTACAAAAACGACTTAAAAATGAATGACAATGTGTTTAAAAAAAGTGAAAATAAATTAAATTCATTAGAAAAAGAATACAAATTGTTTGTCAATTGAAGTTTGGCCACAAAAATTCCTCCTCAAGGAATACCAACCAACCAACAAAACAGGCAAGGCAACATCAATAACAATAACAACAACATATCATCACCAAAAAAACAGAAACAAGAATCAATCCAATAAGACAAAGCAACAAGTAAACGCGTCGCGTCGGCGTATCTCGTATTGTTACTATGTATGTGCGTGCGTGTGTTTTTTAATTCGTCGGTTGTTTATAAGCGAAAAAGAAACGTAACAAGAACAACAATAAAAGGCATTTTAATTCCAAGAATATATTGAACCAGCAAAAAATGAATAAAAGAATAAACGCATCGGGTTAAGTGCGTGTGTGATATACCTACAGTAAATCATAATACATAGTTTAAATTTATTTAAATTGATTCAAGCAATTCCTGCCGCAGAGGCTGCAGCGAAAGAAATCTTATTTGATTGTGACCGTGTGTGTGTGTGCTTGTGTTATCTCCTTTGGAAATTGAAAGTACCGACAGTTTTTTTGTTTTCTTTTTCGATTTGTTTGTGTGGTTCTCTATTGTAATCAAGCGAAACAATAACAAAAACTTACAATTGAACTCCGTGGTGATTACTCTCTCTGCTGCAGAGCTGCAGGCGTCCCTATGCAATTATTTATGTGAGTGAGAGAGTGAAAGAGAAAAAGAGATTTGATTGGCCTTGCTTTCAATTCTCGCGCCCTTTTAATTAATTAAGACATTGTTTTGATTTAATTTTGTGTTTACTTGGGGCGCTTTTGTTTATTTTCACATAATAAACAATGCAAAAATCAATTGGATAATGGAAATTTCGCATATAGCAGTTTGAAATAACAATTAGGTAAGTAAAGGGCTCATTTGCCAATGATTGGTTTGAAGGTTTTGATTTTGTTTGATGTTAAAAGTAGTGACTCATAATTGAAATGATTTTATGCTGATGTTTTAATTTTATTGGTGTTGTTGTATTTGGTTTGGTTGTACGTCTTACCATTTATGGCCAACGCTCTTGTGTTGTGTGTGATATTTGGATGGTCATTGCTGTTTTTATGCTGACCACAACACAACAAAAAAACATTTAAAATATCCATACGTTTATATCAACCCGCCCATGCTGTTTGATTGGTGTTACTGAACTCTTCTTTGCTGACGAATTTTAAATTATTTCTTTTTTGCGTACCTTTTACCATGTGTAATAGGCGGCATTGTCAGTTTATCATTCGATGTGTGGCATACAAGCTGAAGAAAGGTATTGACAAGATAATATCATAATTACCTCTAATTTTTTTTAAATTTTTTTAGGCAGGTTTTCGATTTTTTCTTCTTTTCCGACTTTACGGAAATTTGAAACGCGGATCTGGATAAAAATGAACCCCTGGTTGGACATATTTAAAAATTTATATCTAACAAACGATTATCAGTTCTGGAGTTATAGTGAAATAATTGGGCTTTAACCCAGCGAAGTTGCGCCCACTAAGGCAGATCGCACTGATAACGTTATTTAAACTCGTAAAATCAATTCTATTCAGTTCATAGCCACCGATACTGATGTAAGGAAAATCTGTTCTCCAAAATGTGATCAATATGACCCAAAAAAGTATGAAAGTTAGAAAAACTTCGCGATGGACGTACCGTAGAAGAGAAGATTTCAAGGCTAGGATGAAGATCACCAAAAATTTAGAAAAAGTCTAGCATTCTGTAATTATTGAATGACAACTGTGACTGCATCAGTATGAATGCTACGCAGACTGTCTGATAGGGATCTAGATCTAGATGCTCTCTCTTATAGCGTTACACCTCCCTTTCTTTGTCGTGTATGCCCTTCCTGATACTCCTACTTGGAAGGTTTTATCTATCACATGAGGGTTTGGGCGACTCCCACGATAACAATCAAGCAGGTATTGCAAGGAAAGCATATGGTTATGCTGACATGGTCGACTGGTCTTATGAGGAGGTACCCTGCCGCAGTTCTCAGGGCAGCATTATGTCAGGTCTTGATATTTTTCCACTGTGTAGCACATGTATTCGCAGACCTCACTGTGTATGTAAAGGTGACCACAGACCGACCTATCGCATTATAAGAGGTCAACAAGGTCTCCTTGTCCGCCGTCCCCAAAATACATACACACATTTCATTTTGGCGCAGATAGTTGTGGTTTCCATGGAAGACTTTAACATACTTTCGAATGTGACCTGGGTAGTTTGTGGTCAAAATTAACTGTGAATGGCCACACATTATGTGTGATAATGGACTGGGATTGAGAGGCGAGTTCAGTGAACATTTTTGGTCTGTTGCAAAAATTTTTACTACGATAACCGACTTTCCCTTTGTGATATCGAAAAAAATTGCAATACTAGTAGATTCTTGCAGGTTCTAGAACAGGCCATTTATTTCATGTTCGGGACCTATTAAATGGCACCCCAGATCGTGCGATTTAACACCTTTCTGCTTTTTTTGTTGGGCTTTGTTAAGGCTCATCTCTAAAGGGACGAGCCCCCTTAAATTGATTCGGACAGAAGACAACATTAAAACATTTATTGGTGAGATTCCGGCTGAAATGTTGGAAAGATATACCACAATTGGACTAATCGGATGGATCATTTGAAGCGAAATAATCTTCAATCCCACATCAGACTGTTCTATGACAACTGATTGTACCGAAAAAATCATCCTAGTTTCGGCCAGCGTCTGCCATACATATTCAGGTTTGTTTATTTTCTGCAATGGCATCAGCATATTGCGAAATGCCTTCTCCGTATTCTTTTGGTCATTCTGTGTGTAACTCTTCGAAATATTCATAATAGACCCCACGAAGTATATATATTCTGGATCAGCGTAAAATTCTAAGACGATATAACGATGTCCGTCTGTCTGTGTATCTGTCCGCCTGTCTGTTGTAATCACGCTATCTTTCGAACGAATTGAGATAGAAGGCTAAAATTTTGCATATAAGCCTAGTTTACCAGTAGGTAGGTTAATTTCGTAAATGGTCCACGTTTTCGTATAGCCCCCATGCAACGGTACCTCCCGTTATTCGTTATTTTGATGATATCAGCAACATTGTTCATTGGAATTGTTTCAAATTACGTAATGGAAGATCCCAATGGGTACTGCAACCTATGGCAAAAAAATTTGTATGCAGGTTCAGATCTTCGAATAGCCACCATATAATGGTAGCTCCCGATATTCGGTATTTTCGTGATTTTAGCGACATAATTTCCCGGAATTATTAAAATTTGGTATATGAAGTTCGTAATGAATACTACAGCCTATGACAGAAATTTTTGTATGCAGGTCCACGTCTTCGTATAGGCCCCATATTTAATTTTCGTAATGGGTAATACAACTTATGATAAAACATTTCACGTTTTCGTATAGTCCCTGTATAACGGGTTACATTTCAGTTGTTTTTTGTGAATTTTTTTTAAATATTCCAAATGGTGGAGGGTATTAAAATTTCGGCCCGGCCGAACATAGTTGTATGTTTTCTGTTTGGGATCAGCATATCCCGGAATGTCTGCTCCCTGCCGGGATCGATGAAAACCTCGGACCTTCTGCACGATTTGTCAGAACATCATCCATCACAGATCTGTTTCGGTGCGATGTAATGGATGCAAAAAATGGCTGCACTTTAGAAATCGAGTAATCTTGGAACATTAAGTTATATGGACTGTACTATCAATTCGTCCCTTCATAAAAAACGTTTCTCTTAAAAATTCCACCTTTATAACAGAAATAGATACTTCTTTTCTTTGACTACTTATGTGGAAATTTGATGAATATTTTTGTCCTTCTGAAATTATGTTTTTTGGGAGAAATATATAGCTAAATTTTTTGAAAATTACAGATCAATTGTTCCGCTGTAGAGGAAAAAATGAAATGAGACTTTGGCGGTTCTCAAATGAAAGGTGTCTATAAGTGGATTTTCTGGGAGTACCCAAAGTACAGGTTAAGATAAAAAACTACAACAAACGCCATAATTTTTACAATTTTTAGATTTTATTGTGAAAATGTCGGAAATAGCATAACATATCAGAATAAGTTTAGATTTGGTTACCTTTGGCACAAATTATGGCCTTCAAACGGCCAATGAAACCGTCACACGCTGCCCGAATGTTGCTCTGCGGTATTTTGACCCATTCCCGGCGAAGCGCTTGCTTGAGGTGATCGACACTTTGATATTTTTTGTGCCAACCTTGCTTTCTAAAATACTCCAGACACAATAGTCCAACGGTTTGGTATCCGGAGATTTTGGTGTTCATTGTGCGCTGGAAATGAAGCGAGGAACCTGATTTTGTAACCATTATTGGGTTACGCGTCCTTATTGCGATGGTGCTGAGTCCTGTTGGAACGTCCAAGGTCTGCGGACAAAATGTTTGCGTGCCCAAGGCTTTAATACACCCTCCATAGTATTTTCGCGATAATATTCGGCATTTATTCTGATGCCACGGTCGATTAATACGAGCGGAGAGCGATTATAGGCTATTATGACAGCCCACACCATCACCATGGCCGGCGCTTGAGTTCTAGTGGCCAACCGAAGGTGCACATTTTCAGCTGACCTCTTTGGCAAGTAAACACGTTTATTTTGTTTGGTTACAAACTGCTGGACAATGAATGTTTTCTTACTGGAACGGAGGAAACCAAATTCGGCAGTTCACCAATGGAATTTCAATGGCTTTTTACCCCGAGCTCATTTTTCAATATTTGCCGAATGGTATATTGCGATATTTTCAGCTCACGAGTCATTTTTCGGCCACTGCGACGCGGGTTTTGATCAAGTCGTTTCTTTACTTTTCGAACCATTTCTGCTGATGTTGCTGTTTTCTTCTGTCCACTTTCTTGACGTCGGGCTACGCTACCAGTATCATGGTAACGAGCGATGGTACGAGACACAAAAGATTTATTTACATTTAAATGGTGGATTGCTCTAACGATAGCCACTTGTGGTTTTCCAGCCAAATATAAAGAAATCACACTATCACACTTGAATTCCATCACGAATAACTTTTTTTCTGGAAAATTCTCCATAAAATGCTTTTGTACGATTGTAAACAATATAATGAGCTGTCACTGGAATAATTTTAACGCCTGTTGGACGAGCGGCTTAGAATGACAGCAGTCTGAAGATGGTTGCGGGTTTTTCATCTCACCCTGTAATGTAGGGTATAATACAGTCTTCCCCGCCTAGTTGTGATCCTTCTTAATGGCTTACCTCCAAGATAATTGTTTGTCCTTAACATATCATTCTCGCCATCAACTGGAATGGCTTTTGATCGATAATTTTGATTTTTTCCTGCCAATCAACAATTTTTACATTTTGAATAACTGGAGAGGGGAATTCAAAGTAGTCGTTGTTGTTTTTAATTGTTTATGTTTGTTGTTAGCTATAATAAAATGTTAGCAAATCAATCAAATAATAATTGATGGAATACATTGTATAACAATTACTTAATTAAATTTTTTGTTTGTATAGTTTTCTTCAATTCGATATTCGATACTGTAGCCAGCATTGAATGTACATTAATAGACTACAATAGCTACAATACGCTATTGACGAAAAAAATAATAAACGACAATTATTTTGCAGTGAAAGTTAAAATTTTGATATGACGAAAAATGTTGGAGCAAGAGATGTATGGCATGGGAGGACCATGGAGAAGATAATAGCAATGACAATTATTAATAGAATGTAATAAATATTTGTGCACAAAATTTGGTCTAGTTAAAATATTGAAAAATTCTAGGCAATACCCCAGATCCATTGTCTTCCTTTAGTTACATTTTGATTTATTTCAATGTGTTCTCTTTTGTATAAACATTTTCGGCTTAGATTAAACAAA